AATACTTTGTGATGAACCCGTCGAGATCATCACCAAAATCTGTTCTCAGCTCTACAGAGTTCTTCTTCCTTCATTATTATGGCGTCCGCCGTGGAGCTTATGTTTTCACCCATGTCTATTTATTAGTCAGCAGGATAATGTGAAAGGTGCTGAACCAATTTGCACTGAACGTGGTGGAGGGATGGGGCGTAGGCCAGGGAAGAACCCATTACATTTTGGAGAAGATCCACATTATTAACCATGAATTAGATTTTTTTTTTCTCTTTAGTCTGGTGTATGTTGTTCAACGTTAGCCTAGGCAGAGGTCTATTTTCTCCAAGTGTCCTAGTAGTTGTTTTGGCATTGTTTGGGTCTGTGTCACCACCACTATCATCAACCTTGTTTCCAGATGAGGCAGCTGTTTTCAGTAAAAAAAGAAAAAAAAAAAAGGCTCTAATAAACCCACAATATTTTTAAAATCCTGCATCACTGAAATCCATGTTTGCTAGCATACAGTGTTTGTCCTCACGGCCATTTCTGGTGCATAAACAGTGTGAAAGAAGTGGTCGTGCTTGTGTAAAATATAAACAAAGCGAGGACGTTGACCCAAAGCGCTACAAGTGGCGCAGCGTTCATGACAATAACCAGTTATGAGAGGGAATCATTCTGTGTATCTTAAATGCTATAGAATTTGAACAGTGATGTTCAGTATCAACAGGCTGTGAACCAGATTATAAAGCACATTGCTGCGAAAACAATTTATTCACAGCAGCCTATTTACTTTGAAACCCAACTGCTTCCAGAGGAGCTTTTCTGGAGCCTGTCTGGCACAATGCTCCACGTTTCTACTTACACAGTAAGTTCACAATGAAATCTCAATTGTGGCAGATAGAGTGTACCAGTGGAACACTGAGCTTCATGTAGACCGAGCTTCCTCTCCTTTTGTGTTTTTAAATGCTCCCTTTTATAAAAAGGGGGCGCAGACCAGCCTCCTTTTGAATTTTTGACATTTATTTGACACGGATAGAGAGAGCCATGCAGACATGAGAGATAGCGGTTACAGGACTGAGGTTTAGGGGCACAATTTCCATGATCGGCATTGATCAGGCTTCTCAGAGAGGGAGAGGGAATGAATGAACTACTCAAAAGAGGTCACATGCACCTTTACTCTTCTGTTGCCTCTAGAGTAGAGAGTTTTGATCTAAACAGTTTTTACCTTTCATGTCATTATGTGCATGATAAGTGATCAGGGACTACATTTGACCAGACTGCACCATCCTACAACTACAGGACATATATTTTGGAGATGAACTATACAGATTATACAAAAGATATGAGTGCTATTTAAGGCCCATCTATCTCTCACTCTTTAGTTTTTCTTAATGTACTGTTGCAAAGTTTGGGTACTGTTTGATTAAGTCTAAGAATGCATAAAGTATTTCAATAAACAAACACATCCACGGCACCCAAGACTTGGGTTTTTCAAGCTGTTCACATATATATGAAGGAATAGTTCCATGAACGATCGTCACTGCCAATAGATGTAACACTAAACCACCAGCATCTCAGACCATAACAAACGTTTCATCGGCCTGACCTCTGGCCTCCGTTCGGCCACAACTTCCAAATCACCAGTGAAAGCTGCCCCTAAACATACAACAAGAACACACGACTGAATAAAGAACCCCTCCATTCACCAGAGCCAACAAAAAAACAATCCAGCCACAACCATTAGCCCACGCTAGCATTGCCGTGATATGCTCCACAGCAATGCTAGCGGTAAGCCAGCTAGCAACAGCAATATTTGGCGAACACATTCATAGTAATAGGTAACAGCAAGTTAGCTAACGTTATTGTAGCTGGTCACTAATGAAAACAGACATGTAACAATATGTAGGTAAGAAGTTACTTACACACGGAGGAGAAGAAAAGACAGTTCTGAGTCAAGCTGGAGCTCTTCAGCAGCTCGTAGGTCTCTCCATCTTGGTAAAGCCAGACCAACATTGACTCCGCCGGACTGGGAAAGAAATTCAGCCTTGGACTTGTCCGCTGGGACCAGCTGCACGAATGACACTGACGGAGCCGGTAAAGACACTGATGGAGCTGGTAAAAACATAAAAAACTTTATGGATGGATGTGAGCCGGTAGTCCCAGCGACCGGTCTGCCTGTGCTCTGATCTTATCCCTCTCTTTGCCGGAGGCCTTTTTTATACGAAAACGTGGTTTCTTCAGTGGAGGAAATTCAGGAAAGTCGCTTTCACCTGAACGCTGTGCTATCTCACATGTGCCTGTGTGTATATAAACGTAAGGAGGACCAGCGTTTTAACAGGGAGGGAATCACATGCACTAACACGACGCACACGCTGTCCGACCAGATACTGAAACAAAGTACAGACTTTACTTTACAGCTTTACTTTTACGACACACAGAGGAGGTGTGACGTCGTCCTCTGTTCAGGACACTATGACTCCACTATATCTTTGCATAGAAAATAGTTGTTCGCTGCTATATTATCATATAAAAATCTCTCTTTACAAAACATTTCATAAATATACCAATTCACTTACAGATATGGACAATACAGATCTAGTGTTACAGAGTTACATTAGATCATTGTTCATATAATTTTTTCATGTAGAGTAACAAGCTTTTGTATCCAGCTGTTATTGCGGTGTTAAAGAGTGCTCACTGTGAGAGTACTTCACAGCAGTAGTAGGGAGAGTACATACACACAGGAACACACAATGGGATATAATATAAGAGTGTCATCTGATAATACCCCTTTCCCCTCTCTCTTGCTGTTGTTCCCGCTTGTCATCGTCTCTCCTCAGAATGGCAAAATGATACCGTCATACAGTTTCTTTTGAGATATTCATCCTAAAGACTGTAGGCGAGCTCCTAAGAAATAATGGGAAAGGGAGACATGTCAGCGCATAAACATGTAACATCAATACACTTACGACTGATGAAGCAATCCTGCTCTACTTTGTAACATTACCTAAGTGGAGTGCCAGCAAAACATTATTGGGCTATATGTCCGAGCCTTTTATCTCATGCCACATAATATAATAATGTGATACTTTATTGATCCTTGCAAAAAAAACAGTTTTTTCTCTCGCCATGAGGAGGTCAGAGGTCAATGCCATCTGCAGAAGAGCACTTCAGGAGCTGCTGGAACTTGCACAATGTGCTGAAGTTAGCATTGGTGCCACATGGGAGATCAACCATCAAAATGGTTAGTTTTCAGGGTTTAGCTGTAGCTTTATGTGATGGAGCAATTTTGCTGTGGCTAAATTGAACCTTAAGTAGTAAAAGTGACTGAATTAGTTTACAGGGGGCGATGGGGAAGTCCAATAGATCACGTCAGCGATTACAAATTTAGTGAACAGGTAAGCTGTGATAAAAAATGTTGGGAAGATAAAACTTATAAACAATAAAACTACTAATTGTGTTTAATATTTTTGACAGAATAAGTAAGAATTAATGTAAAGTGTAATAGCCATTATTGCAAATCAGCTATTATCCCTCGGATACTTTGCATTTGAGGGTCTTGTACATTTATATGGCTAAGATGTTAGCACACACTTGCTAATTTACACATCAAGAGGACACAGACAACATTATCATTCATTTGGAGTCATGTTTCTGGTCATTACTAAGGATTCATTCAGCTAGTCTCCGATCTTTTACGGTGTACGGTGCTAGGCAGGCAGATTTTAAAACAGCTGCCTGAATGGTGAGTCATATTGTTCATATAAAGATTGCTTAGAGCAGCTTTAAAGGACGAGTTTGACATTTTGGGATATACACTTATTCACATGCTGTGAGCTAGATGAAAAGATCAAACAACTGAGACGACTGGGCTGCTGTCTCCAGCCACATATTAACTGTACAAATATGACAGTGGTACTGATCGTCTCATCTAACTCTTGGCAAGAAAGCATGTGAAAAGAAAGCATGCTTTCCAAAATGTCAAACAATTTCTTGAAGGTAAAAACTTAATCAGTCTGGGTGAATAGTTTTAAGTAAGTTTACCTTCATGATTTGCACAAAAACATCACGAGCTGTGATCACAGCCTTTGCTGTAAATTAATTAGCAAGCAAACTGTATTTACTAGGTTGTTAGTGAATGGTCTCTTGCTAAATTGTGCAGCCAATTAAGCTACTTCTGTAGCTGTAGTTACATTTACTCTCTTAACTCTTGAAATTGATGAAACTTTCAAGACCCACATTCCCATCCGTGAAGCAGCCCTCATCCATTTCTCCATTACCGTGGTGTCTTTAATCAGAGGAATGCGTCTGTGTGTCCCCATGTGACCCGCGCACAGAGCAACAATGTAACAATAATGCAATAACAATAATGTAACAAGGTAATAACTAGAGCAGCTGAATTGTTCCCCGGGCGCGGGAGCAGAGAGGAAATGGTCATAACATGGTTTCAGATCTCTCAGAATCTGTTGCATGTCTTTCTATAGTTGTGAGGACACCCTCTGACATAATGCATCCCCCTAGCCCCTTACCCCAACCTTACCCATCACAACTAAATGCCCAACCCTAACCCTGACCTAACCTAATTCTAACCTTAACCCTAAACCCAAGTCTTAATCGTCAAACAGCCCATAACATCCTCACAAACAATGACTTAAACTGAAATTTGTCCAAATAACTACAGAGAGACATGTACACACCCACACCCACACACACCCACACCTTTTCAAAAGCTATTGTGGAATGTGTACGTAAAAAACAAAAAAAACAAACCTTTTCATCCATTTGGTAACTGTCCTATCTATTTCAGTCTTTGTGGGGGTCAGCTTCAAATCAGAAAGCTTTTACACAGCTTTCCTAACAGTCTATCTCAATTTAACAAAAAGAAAATTGTTGTGGAGGTTCACTTGTGTTTGTGTGGGCAAAACTGGAACCAATCTGACCCCGATTTTTTTTTTTTTTTTGTTTTGTTGGAAAAGCATTCCTCTTCACTTCCTTTGAGAGGTAAAAAAAAGAAAGAAAATGCAGCCACATTCAGGGACTGAATGGTTTATTGAATGTAATGCATTAAAACATAAATAGATACATGATAGAGAATGTGTCGGCAGCCTGAAGCACAGACAGTTACCACATTTATTATTTGAAGAAGTGAGTGCGCCTTGAAACCAGAACACAAAATACAATTTGTGCCCTAAAACGTTATGTTCAATATATTCAGTCAAATATCTTTTGTCTCGCAGACAGGAGTGAGTATTAAAAATATGATGTATATAATGTGTTAAGCCACAAAGAGCAGAATGATTATACAATGCTACTGTATCTTAATTAAAAATAAGATACACATTACAATATAAAATACAAGGACGTGGTGTGAATGCAACAGAACTTTGGTCAAATATTTCAATACTTGTTCCTCCACAGGTTCAAAGGAAATCTGGAGCGTTAAGACAAGTGGGGAGCACACGCATCCCAATATTAAGCACTGGGAGCTGACAGTGTTCACATGTTTAAATAAAGGCACTTATGAATGACATAAACAAGAGAGACAAAAAGTATCAAAATGAACAATAAATACAGGTAAACAGTTTCTTTTCTGAACTAAAAAGACACTAGTGTTGTTCATTTAAAGTCTCTCTTTTGTGATATGTGGCGAGGGTAACACATGTCATTATAGAATTATCTCTACGACTCAACTTAACATTAATAATTGGCTTATTAAGGTCATAGATGTCTGCAGGACTCTATAGCAAAGCCATGTTTACAATACAAAGCCAAATGAAATGTTTTTGTCTTTGCAGAAGTGTAAAAAATATAGATTTGTGTGGTACATTGCTCAACAGATACAAAATGTGATGCATGCATTCAGATTAAACAGATTTCTACAACAAATAGAAAGAAAAACTTACAGTATTATTAATCTTAAGCATGTGGTCCATGGTAAAGAGCCTTTGCTCTCCCTACACGTGGTGCTCAGTCTACGTTTCTGTACCTGGTAAAGAGGTTGTAGAGGACGCGCAGTGTCGATTTAAGGTCACAGTTCACTATATCTGGAAAAAAAAAAGAAAGAAAAAGAATAGAGGAGTTACAGATAACAACTAGTGAGAGTTTGGATGTTTTTTTTTGTTTTCTAAGGTCCACCATACTGTCCTGGGGGGTGGAACGCATTCCTGCTTCTCTTCAGCTTAATGGCTTGTAAACACCAGGCAAATCTTTCCTTTAGCTAACGAGGCTCAGCAGATGCCTTCGAGAGGTTTTGGTTGTTGAGAGCCAACAGAATACACATATTATAAAACATGTGATCTGTTAAATTTTCTTTGCATAATTTTACAAACTGCCCTCATATTTATCAGATATGTGAAGGCACATGGTTTCGGTTGTTCCATATTTACCCTCATTTATTTCTTAAAGCTGTATTAACTGATTTTTTTTGGCCACTTTTGGCAGGCAGTTGAACACGCTGACAGCACAACACTGATATATGATCAGCTCTTCACGTTGTTACGGCTAATGTGTTAGCAAACAGTTGCCTATTTACACTCGTTGGAGTTTCTGTATATCCAATATTCACTCTCATTTTAACTCCGTTTTCAGCTCCACCGACTCCTGTGAGAAACATCCGGCTCTTGACTGAGGTGATAGCTCTCTGTGGGTTCGTCAATAAGAGTGACACTTCAAATGACACAGTTATTTCACCCTTTGTTGACATAAAAATACTGATTAGTGCAGCTTTTTCTTTTTCCCAACCAAAGTTAAAATCCCACAAACTTTAACAAAACCTATTATAATCTTGAGAGTGCAAAAATTACTGAATACTGTATATATCCATGCCCATCATTTGTCCTGTCACTATTCACGACTGTATAAAGCCGTAAAGGTTCTAAAGCATGAATGTGTTTCATGTGTGTCCTACCCTCTGGCCGAGGCTTTGGTCTCTCCAGACCTCCATCCTGCATCAGTTCAAAGGAGAAGGACACGTTGTGAACCTGCAGAGAGAGGGACACGTCTGTTAGGACACAAGAAAGCTGTGAAGGAGGCGTGATCACTACTGTACACACACACACACACACACACACGCACACGCACACGCACACAGCCTAATTTTTACACATACAAGCCACATGTGGGCAGTTACAAATCATACACCACCACCACACACATCTCGTTGATAAGAGAACATTGAAACTGGTTGCTTAATCCCACAATACACTCGGAGTTGATTCAGTCGTGTTACCACAGCTTCCTGTGTGGACAAACACAACACGGCTCTGTTCTGTAAGACCATAAGCCTTCAGCAGCTGCACAAACACTCTGCTCCCTCATTTATCAATGGACACATGTCACCAGTGTCACTCAAAAACCTCCTAACTCCAAGAAAGTGATACTGTCACAGACAGTTAGATTTTTCATGTCATCACAAGAGTGCGGGTAACACTTGTACAATGTGACTGAATGTAAAACTGACTGAACAGAAAGGAGTGGAGAGTATTTATGACGTTATTATATTTCATGCAGCTGGAAGCACACATGGTGGAGAGAGTGTATTTTCTAAGAAACTGACAATCACTTGCTTTTTCAAAACATGGACCTCAAATCTTACTGCATTTAAGATAAGATATTGCTTTATTAGTCCCACAGTGAAAAAGAAAAGAAAGAACTGCAAAATATCAATATAAAATAACAAAAAAACCAAGCTTAATAGTAGATAATAATATCATATATACAATTAGATACTTTAATATAACAAGAAATAAACAAAAATAGCAGCAGAAAAGGGATATTGCACAGTTGGTATGTGTTAATTATTGCACATGGTGAGTTTAGATTTAAATGAGCAGAGACACAGCTCTGTGGAGAAGAGATGGCGACACAAACCTGACTTGTGAGCAATAAGAGCAAAACAAGAGACAGAAATAGTTGAAAGACGTTTTTTTTTTTTTTTAATTCTCAGCCCATTGTATCTGCGTGTGTGTGTGTGTGTGTGCTCTCCCTGCTGTGAGGTACTAAAAGCTTTGCCCAACAAGGGCTTATTGTGTGATAAGCATGACCTTAGCCATCTAATACAGTCAAAAAGAAAGGAAGAGAATGAGCTTTAAGTAGAGATCTACTGAGCGGAGGCAGGAGTAGTTTCTTGATGCCTCATGATACTTTTCACAGCCGGCCCCTAGTGTATCATCGATAGGCCTCCAGACCCTCGAATAGACACACATTCACACACTCTCTCTCTCTCACACACACACACACACACACACACATAGAGAGTAATAGAGCTGAGCCCCTAAGCCACTTCAGCGTTTCCCTGTGCAATAGGAGATTACAGATGCTGTGGGGCTGGTGCCTGTTCTTCCGGGCCAGGAGTCTCTCCATGTGTGTTTGTGTGTGTGTGTGCGTGTGTGTGTGTGTGTGAGTAGTTGTGTACATTGTAGCACTGATGCCCATTCTGCTTTGCAGCTTGGCAGGGGCTGCTGGCCAACACCCAAACAAAAGGCTACTGTGGTGTCTCCGCAGATTGCCTGTTCAGAATACTGTAGAACTACAGAGGCCAATGGAGAGAAGAGATGGCTCCGCACTGAATGGGCTCTGGGGAAAACGGATGGCATTTATCAAGCTATTGAGAGGAGAGTTCTGGCTCCGAGTGCATGAGGCTCCTCAGAAATGGGAGTATTGATTTAGGAGTGTGTCTTAAACTATAGGTCAAGACCAGAGGCGAGTCAGAGCCCCGTTTCGCATGGATCTCTAAAAGAAGAGAGCGGATGTATCAATATGATGGAGCCCCCCGACTACGAGTCTTCATCTCCACTTTTCCAAAATATTGCTGCATTTGTGTATTTTGTTAAATTCATGCAGCAGAACCAAAGCCATTTAACAAAGGTCATTGTTCCTTTCTTTACTAATTGTGAAAAACAACAGATGTGTGACATTCATTCAGCAACAAGGAGAGAGATACAAAGGAGTCCTAAAGTATCCGGACTCATTTGTTTTGGCTCTGTGCTGCAGTGAACTGGATTTGAAATTAAACAATGAGTATGTGTCGTCATTTTGGGCTTTAATTTGAGGGAGATTACATCCACATTAGATGAAGCATGTAGAAACTGTAGCTAGCCTTTTAACATCTGCACTTTAATCTCATGGTCATGCTTTTTTTTTATTATTTTATTTCTTGGGGCATTTTGTGTCTTTATTAGATGGCGGAAGTGGAGACAGACGGGAGATGTAGGGAGAGAGTAGGGGGGAAAGACATGCAGCCGGGAGGCGAAGTAGGGACTCGCTGCTCGGGGCCTTTGAGCCCATGTGGTATGTGCCCTAACCATGTGAATCAGAACCGAGCACGGTGAAGCAGCTTTTAGTTTCTATGGTCCCCCACCTGTGGAACCAGCTTCCTGAACACCTGCGGTCTACTGAAACTGTCAGCTCACTTAAAGGGCTTACAACATCTCTTTTTGCTGCAGCTCACCAATAAACCACACACACAACATCCTTTTAATCTTGTGCATTTGCTTGTTGTTAATGTCTTTTATCACTGCAGCACCCCCTTTATCTTTATTTATTCTTTTTTTTTCTATTGTTTTTTTTATTGCTCTTAATGTTCCATTTTTAATGGATTCCCATGCCTCTGTGAAGCACTTTGAATTGCCTTGTGTCTGAATGGTGCTATAAACTTGCCCTGCCTTGCCAAACCATTCGGCTATCAGGTCGCTCCCTCCGTCATTTTGATTACTTTTTTTTAAAAACCAAGCCAGTTTTGAAATCTGGGTAAAAAGCTATAGATCTTCTGTATAAAAAGCAGTTTTTATGTTCAAGTAGTGAAATGAAAAGCTTCTATGGACCCTTTTCTTTCCCCCATTGTTGGATTCCTTCATAATAACAGATGTATATTCAAGACGACATCTGCTGTCCTCCTCCGTGAGGAGTGAGCCAGAACTACCCATCAACCCTGCAGGTAGTGACTGATTATCAGAACATAGTTTTTTTTTCCCCTGTAATACTCCAGCTCACTGATGGATAAAGAAAAAATAATCGCACTTTACCTTTTGGTCAAAGTTTTCTGGTGTGAGGAAGAAGTTGTAGAGCGGCACAAAGTATCCCTCCAGTAGCCCCATCAGCAACACCAGGTAAACACCGTCTGCAAACTGAAGCAGCACAGTCAGGTGAACAGACAAACTGTGAGCTGGTGGGGATTCAAAACTGACCCGTCAGTGATTGAAGAGAAATGTTGGCTCAAGACTAAAAGAGTGAAATCTCAATGACATGAAAGTATGTTACAATGGCCATGTTTTTTTTTATTTCCAGTGACTGATTAATATGAATATTTAGGCCTACAAACATCAGTGAATAGTGGTTAAGCATCAGCATACAGTACGTACTGTATCATGTATGTGTGTGTGTGTGTGTGTGTCGTACCTGTGTGTCAGCTTCAGACACCTCGAGGTTGAGCTTGTTCAGGTGTTTGTTCACAAATGTGATCAATGTCTGAGAAAACATGAAAGAAACTGTCAAAAAAGAGCAGGTGGCATCTCAATCAAAACAGAGAATGTACACTTACACAAATCTACACACGACTCATGACTTTAATACATATAGACACACACACAACAACAACAACAAACATAAAACATCTGTGATATACAAAGCACCCTGTACTCATTTAATTCTATTTTTATTCAGATCAATTATTGAATGAACAATTTGTAATGCAACTACAAAAATGACAGTTTGACTAAAAGAAAAAATCTTAACTCAAGGTCTACTTACTAGCTTTTTTTCTGGAATTTTCAACCATGTATCACAGTCTTCATCAGCAGATGGAGTTTCTCAGTTATCAAGCATCTCTAAACCAACATGACACCTAAGCAAACTCCATCCACTGATGAAAAGCACTGGATTTTTATTTTTTGTGGTCAAGATTGAGATTTCATGCTCAACAAAATGTAATGCTGATCTCCAGTAACTGCACATTTCTTTACTACATTAGCAGGGTGGCTACATGGCTGCTAACAAAGTCAAAAATCTTGTTCATTTCAAGCTAAAAATCATGACCACAATTAAATAAAGTCCTAGATTTGTTATGGGGCAGAGAAGAGACTCAGTAACTGAAATAAGGAAACTACAGTTACCTGATTATTTTCACTTCAACAATGGTAAACTGATCTACGACCACACCACAACAATCTTTTCAGGTATATATTTCCTAGGACCAGACTTTTTGTATTGTATTAATATGGTATTGTTTGTATTTAGATATTTTTTTCCATGATGGTGCCAGACATGGTTGATAAATCTGTGGTGCCACTGTAAAGCCCCAATACCTTTTTGACAACATTGAGTTTATCTGGAGCGTGGTCAAACAAGGTGTCGAAGGCATCGCGCTCTGTGGAGAATAAACCAAACAAATTAGTGATTGAAAAAAAAAATAATAAAGGGGGCAGGGAAATGTGAACATTCCTGAAATCAGAAGCAGAAAAAAAATAGAAAAGAACATACCATGTCTGCCAGAGAAAGCCCTTTGAAAAAGAGGAGAGCATTTGGAAATTAGAGCCAAAAAGACAAAATATGTCAAAACACACAACTCAGAGGCCATTTCTCCTTATTGACAATTTCACACTTGATTATTCACAGAAAACAAGAGAAAATAACAGACACGTGCGTCCAAGTCAATCACAGAGGAATGTAGAGAATGGAGGGATTATGTTGCAGAAATGACAATACAATAATGTAGCGAGGGTATAATTTGATTAACAGTAAACACAGGTACACCGCGGGTATTCAAATAACCTGGGTATCATCAGTGGGATGGTCACAATGACCACATACTATAGCACAATACAGTAATCCCAACAGCAGAATAGCACTGTTGGGTATTAATACAATGAATGAAGACGTGCCTGTCTGTCCGTGTTGGTTTTCTATGGGAATGGAGGAGCCTCTCTTGTCTATTATTACAATGTTAGCACTTTGGAGGCTGTTGTTATTGGACAGGGTCAGGTGGTTTTTGGAGCATAGGGAACGCTGCAGTGCGAGCGTCCCAGAGGAAGCGATATCGCAGTGGGCAGGCCAGCAAGAAATGGCAGGCGCACACACGCGCACACACATACACACACACACACGAGAAGCACTCGCACACATGTTCATGGTGTAATCTGCGATGGCAAAGGCAGGCAAGTCTGGGCAATGGTCCTGTTGGTAATAACCGTATTTTCACTGTGACCATGTGAGTGTATCTGAGCCTCTGTGTGTCTGTGTGTCTGTGTGTGTGTGTGTGTGTGTGTGTGTTATTAATGGTGTATCTATCTACCATGACAAAATGCGTGTGCTTGTGTGTGCTGGCCTGCTGTTATCTCCCTCGTTGCTGCTGTCAGGCTGCAGGACAGCCTCACAGCGAGAAATAAAAGTGTGTGTGAGACACGAGAGTGTGTGCATGCGTGTGTGCGTGTGTGTGTGATTTAAATTTTCTAATTCTTCAGCTAAGGGTGCCATCACATCTCTTGTTGAAATACAATGGTTGCCTATTCGCCATTGCGCAGTCTATGTAAAGCACAGTGGGCAGCACAGTTCTGTTGACAGAAGAGAAGATACTGAGAGAGAGAAATCCACGTTTTTTAATCATGGTAACGATCCGTTTCATTTGGTCGCCTGTCAATTACATTATATCCCCTATGTGCATGTGTCAGCATTGCCTGCCAGAAGCTGAAAATTGCCATTTTATAGAGCTTTAAAACACATTCTTAAGATACACTTTTTTACATGCATTTTAACCAGATGAAGGATTTCAGTCATCGGACGTCTGGATCTTAAGTTATCAGAGAAAAACAAGCCAGTGTTTTTAATCATTCTTTGATTAAATTGTAATTCTGTCCTTTTTTTGACCAAAAGTTTGTTTGTTTTCTCCACAGTATGGTATCAAAAAAAGTTTAATTTTGGTGTTGTTACGGTATTGTGACTTGTATTAAAAAAGTAATACCCAGCCATTGATGCGTTATTTGTCACGAAGGTTGTCCAGATCAAAAGACTCCCCCGAATGCAGCTGAGAAATAAAAGCTTTATTTTTGCAAATCAGTTTCTAAAAACCCACTGAATTCAGCCAACAGAGGTGAGCGGCACTGTTTCACCTTGATTGGTCCAACGGATTAAACGAAAAATGTTTTCAGAACTTTAATATCTAGAAGTCAATAATCAGTAAATTACAACCAGCCTGTTCAGTTTGTGACATTTCATACCAGACACAGGTGGAAAAGATTTACCCAGAGTGCTTCAGTGTCAATGGTCAACATGTCAATTTCAATATGCGAAAACCGATATTTTAGTTAGATTAGTGAGGTGAATCAAAACTGCTACTACGGGATGTAAAGATGCTCAAAATAAAGCACTTTTTTATGTCAGTGTCAGTCTTCAGTCTGACATTTAGTCAACAGGCTTCTCTCTTTTTCACCTGCAATAATACCGGTCAGCTCTGCATCTAAATGCTGTTCTGTGGTGTGAAAATGAGTCAGATGGCAGAGCGTACTTACTCTGTGTTGCCAGTGATTTCCTCCTGAATTTGTCTGGACTGAAGGATGCCCTCTCTTTTCTGAAAGACAAAAAGAGGGAGGATAGTGAATATGACTGAGACAGGGAAAAAAAGTTGAATTCACAGCAGCGGAGAGTGGTGTTATAAAACCAATGTTCACAATAAAGACGACAACCTGTTGCGCAAGTAAGCAGACTCGTACTGTAAATGAGGACTGGACAGGATTTAAAGACAAACGGTTCACCCACCTGGACGACCACTACTTGGATAGAAACGTGGTCAGGCAATCTGATTGGTGCTCTGAAGTGTTGTGACAGCGCCACCAGCAGGTGCAGGATGGCCACTATACTCTTAGCGTGAACCGCTAGTGTGGAGGAAAGACGGAGAAAGAAAGTGTGAATAAACAATAAAATGAAAAATAAACTAGTAGTCATGGAACAAATAATAGGTTCTGCAAGTAGTTGGCATACATGAGACATAACATTTTCACTTGTTATCTGCCGTTTTCTGACCTTTAAATCTGTACAACAACTTGCTGTGGGAATGTATTTATTATAACAATTAAATCTTAAATGTCTCAATATTTTTGAACAAAAACATGCCATCACCTGCAATTAATGTGTAGACACGTTATTAATATCTTAATATCTTTTTAATGAAGTGAATACCTCTCTCCAGGCCTCAGATTGTCAAATAACAAGCCACATATTTTCTATTATTTTTCATCCTTCTGGAATTTAGAATTAAAAGTTTTACAAGGCAAGGTCATGAAACCTTTAATGGTAAATACAAACACAAGATGCCAAAAAGTTGCCTTGGAGTGATGTTGAAAAAAAACAAAAAAAACACAAGCTTTTGTGCAGAGGAAGCAGAAACACTCTAAATTATGTCTGCAACAGAAAGTCGACATTAAGAGCCTGTTCAGTCAGACGTACTGAGCAACATGTCTTTAGTCAACCGCACAAATAGGATTTACCTTTGGATACACTAAACAATCAGGATCAATTAAGTGTCTAAAGCAAGCCTTTGATTATACACCATGGCGATGGCAAATGACACAGTGCTGGCTTATGGCCTTCATAAAACCTATTTGATCCTCACTGCATAAGAGGATCCAAATAAGTTACATCAGGGGCGAATGTTTTTCTTCGGCGGCTGAATGGGGGATGAAAGTCGGGGCAAACAAAAGTGAATTGATTAAAAGAAAGCTCCTCAAATAAATGGACAGCAAAATCAATCACATTCCACATTATTCACTGTGCTCTTTTAGCATTTTTGAAGCCATCTCACACAAATAGCTTTTCGCAGACAAACTTCTGCCACATTTTTATATTATATCATATTATTCGGTTTGAATTCGTTTGATATGGCCTTTCTGTAGTGAATCACTGTCTCAAAATCAATGGTGTTCCTAATGTTAAAGCTTTTCTCTCTGTGTCTCTGTCTTCTACAGTCAACCTGCCCTTTAGCTTCTTGCCTCACATGCATTTCTTCTCTCTCTCTCTCTCTCTCTGCCTGAGAGAGAGAGAGAGAGAGAGAGAGAGAGGCCTGAGGCCAAAAAGAGTATTCATGTAATAATGTTGTGATAATACAGTAACGTCAACATGCTGACAGGCCTCACAATATCATCTCATTGGGAAATTTGACTTCTATGTGAAAATTGAGTAAAGCCAAGGTTGTTTTTTTTTTTGCTAATGTGATATATGGGACACCAACATACAGGCCTATTTGGGAACCAATAGAACAAAAAAAAAAGAAAAGAAGAAGAAAAGAAAAAAATAAAGCACTGAGCTCTTCAAATGGGCAGTTTCAGCTACAGGTACGTAGGTACTCATATCCTCTTCTGAGCCTTGTTTTGAGACAATGCTTGTTTATATTTTGGGAAACTGGTGCCATTAAAAGTTGCTGAATCAGCCATTAGCAGCTCCTGTTTGCAGTTTACCCGTGTATGTTTGTCCACGATGGTTATCAGATATAATGATTATACCCAGGAAGTGGAAGTCAGACTGAATGATATTGCACATGACTGATATACATGCGTTTCATGTCAGTGTGTTAAGACTTGACTGAGTTATGAATCGGAGGAGGAGTATGAGTATGAGTCCGTCCACGCTTCACTTTCAGGGAGGTTCCTTTTCTTTCTCTTTTGGCTTTGTCCTGCTAAATGTCCGTGTCTATTACAGACCATAACCTGTAATCTCCTGATGGCTAAAACGTCATCCGGAACAATGTTACGAGTTAAATTACTAAGCGCAGTGAATATTTCATTCCCCTCCTGCCACTGTAATATTAATCCTGCCCGAATGTGGTTTAAGACTTGATGTGGATTTCCGTCTGCATAGCAAGTGTCTCCACATGGAGTATCAATACGTGACAGTTAAAAAAAAAAAAAGCAAACATTTTTTAGAAAGGATACCTCAAGTTTGTACAATTTACAGCTGGAAAAAAAACTTGTGAATTTTCTCTGGTGGACAAACTATGTTCTTAGTCAAAAAAGAGGGTTTTCACACCTATTATATTCTGAGTGGACAAAAGCACCCAAACATCCTGGCACTGTCTGCAGAACAATAACAACCAGCATCAAGGACCTCTATTTCAATGCTCAGAAAGCTTCTGCAGGGTGTTTCCAAGATCAGATCACAGTGACAAAACTGGCTGCTTGAAAATCTGTAATAAGGATCTGTTATGAATAATATAAAAGTGAGCTGCTACTTAGAAACAAATATTCTGCTAAATATTTTTTAATTTGCACAAAATAAAAGCCGTGAGCCTGAGTAATACTGTGCATCTGAAAATACGGATTCTTCCTACGATTCGCTGTTGTTTATATGGTTTTATCTTCTCCTCTTTTCCGTGTCTTTATCATTTTCCCCTTTTCAGTTAATTAGTCTTGCAGCTGCAGATAGCCATTCATCCCACAGGGATCAGTTAGGTCTCATCTTATCTCTGCAAGCATTATTCAACAGTATATTGTGTTTCACTGAGTCTTTCAAGTGATGATGGTTCATCGTCTTAAAAGATCTCCAAATTTCAATTTCATCAAATTTAACTAATGGACGGATCAACTGTGTAGTGCCACTTCACTGACTTCACACAATACGTACTTCTGTAATTGCATGTCACCGTCTCAAAGCCATTCAACTTTCCTGCAGACGGACAGTGACTGGTGACAGAACAGTGAAACAGTATAGGCAAAAGAAAACAGCAGAGTACAGATCACAGAATTACATTTATATACAAAGACGTTTCTTACAGTCCACGTTCCACCGAATGTTCCTGGTGGAGAGTTTGAGCGAGTCGTTGATGCGCTCTAAAACGGTCTGCAGCTTCTGTTTCTGGGCGATCTCCGACTGGGTCACTTCAGCCACGTTCAGTTTCTCACCTTCCAGCTTTTCTAAAGCGCAATTGAACACAAAGACACACAAATCAATATTAATAAGTTAAATTCTTTGGAACATTAATTTTTTTTTTTTTTTTTTTTTTTTATTAGTCCTGGAACTTTTAGTATAATGTGGAGTTAATGTCCACAGAGGCAGTTAATGCCTCCCATACACTAGAAGACTCTGAAAGTCTGACACCCTCTAGTTGGCAAGATGAGATTCTTTTGAGATTATTACCCATCATGCTCCTGGTGGAAATTTACAGGAAGAAAAGCAACCTTGGAAAGTTCTCCGTTTTCAAAGTGTAGTAGCGCAATAACAACAGTACAGCTAGTTTCCTTTCTCAGACTGTATGGTTCAATTCCTCACCAAACAGTTTCTGCAGGACCTGTCCATCATACAGATCCTCAGCCAGATCCTTCACAATGATCCTCTCTCCAACCAGAACGTCATTTATCCAGTCGATCAACACCTGCAGAAGAATAAGAATAAGAAAGGTGACTCGTACTGGGAACTTACAACATTATCTCAAAAATTACTTATTTGAACCTGCAGTGGTCATATACAATCTTTTGGAAGTTATGTTGACATTGAATTATTTAGAGTGGTTACATTTAGATCTTGTGCCTGCTATCTATAGTTACATTTACATAGTGACAAAGACAAAACATTTTGAGAAATGTTTGCAAATTTTGGAGGTTTTCTTTTGCTCTTTCTTGCAATTTGACTCAGGCTTGTTCCACCTGCGGGAACATTACAGTCTCATACCACCACCTAAAGTTTGGTGCTGCATGCGTGATGAGCTGTGATTACTCACAAACTCTAAAAGGGAACACTGACCCCATATGTTTAAACTTTTCACATTAATTATTGGCCTTTGTTGCAGGTTTATTATGAAAGGCAGCAATTTACAACTCTGAAACAAAGTGTATTCAAAATAAATAAATATAAATCTTACCTTCATGAGCTCCTGCAGTTTGCGGTCATTCTTGGAGTTGGGGTCCACCATGGTGCGAACTTCATTCTCCTCTAATGGACGAGCAGAAATGGGATAAATGTTAAAGCTGAGGAGGAACTTTAGAATAACAATGCAACTCACACAAAAACAGCATTAACAATATCATAGTCGCAGAGTGTCATGGTGAGACTACTCGATACCAAAAGAAGTGGTGACAAATTCACCACATAATTTGTGTGTTATAGTTATTTTCTACACAACAAGCAACTTCATTAGACCGACAGTATTTTGACAGGGTACTGTTACTGTATTATCATTGTTCCGTTGGAGGTTTCTTCCTGTTGAAGTGCTTGTGGTGGTTTACTGACATGTAACTATATAGACACGGTAAAACTGAATTTAATTTAATTGAAATTGTCAAGAACCAGGACGTCCAGTTCAGAACTCAACTTGTTTCTGTTTATTAGGCCTTTGCAGTCTTAACTGTCTAACAACAGTTTATGTCCTGGCACATGTGAAAGAACATGAATGAGTGTTTGTTCCCCGCAGAAAGCTTTGGCAGTGTGTTTGGTTTGTTGACTGTTGGCGAAAACGTGCTTGTCGGATTAGCTCAGCTCATATAGTGATAGAGCAGACTATACTGCCAAAAGCATTGGGAGGTGGGAGAGCCTCCCATCTCCTCTCCTGTTTGAAAGCATTAAGATCTATGCACCTCTAATGCACCGTCTCTTCAGCTGAATTATTAGCATCGTCCACAGCCATTGTTGTGGACACTGCTATTGCACTCAACACTGTAGTTGGCAAACCTACACCAAGTAGATCTTGCTTACATAAATATGCATGCATTGGCCAACAATGCCTGTTGGCTAATGCATGCATATTATGTAGATTCTCAGCTTTGTGGGCATTGATCATTACGATACATATTAAATTGTCTGTTTTTGTCCCTGGCTTCATAAAAGGCTTCAACTCAAAAAAAAAAAGTTTCAATCTGTCACTGAATCTAATGAAGAAAAAAATCTGTAAATGTGTCAGTGTTGTCTTGGAGCTAACTCGTAGCCTCTATTTGTGTGTGAAACATGGACTGTGAGTGTAGCTGTTTACCAAGCATGGTGTCCTCAGGGTCCAGCTCATAGTGGGAGGGGCTGAGAGGAAGGTTGATGGCATTTATCCCCTCCTCCTGAAGCTCAGACACTGCGAGAAAGAAGCAATAGATTCATTTAGATCACATAAGATGGATGTCAGGCACTTCAAATTACTGTTGACTTTCATCTTCTCCTCTTTAAAAATGATACAGCTGGTGGGACATGTAAGACCATCCCTCAGTATTTCCTCTTACTACTTACTTACTGTCCATAATGCCAAACCCATTCTTTGCAATTGAAGATGTAAATCTTTAAATCTTTAATAACAAATATACAGTGTAGTTTCATTTGTAGAAAAGGCTCAGTACTTTACTAAAACAGCTGGGCACTGTGGTTTTTACCAAACATTACTCAGACAGGAGCAAGTAGTGCAGTATTTTGGTGTATGCAGGACCGACTCAAAATAAACTACTATTCTCATCAACTATTAATGCGTTGATTATTTTTTCAATCAACTGATAAACCATTTAGTCTACAGAAGGCAAAAAGATAGTGATAAAGTCATCATAATTTTCAAGAGCCCAAGCTGATGTCTTCAAATGGCTCATTTTGTTCAACCAAACCCGAAAGATATTTAATGTAGGATGATAAAACAGAGAAAAACCAGCAAATATCTATGTTTGAAAAGTTGGAACAAGCAATTAATTGATTATCTAAGCTTCATCGGCAACCACGAACTAAAGGTATAGCCAAATGTAGCTGTATAATATGCCTTCTGGTGAAGACACTTAAAATGCCAATCAATTTGAAAGACAGAACACCCTCCTGAAAAATAACCACCGGCAGAGTTCAGCCCCAGTTTGGATGGATCCCTAAATGTTCCCTTGATTCCAAAAACAACCATTAGCAGACCCTCCGTTGAGATCCACTTGAGGTCACACAAACAACGAATGGTGCTGCTTCCTGGTTCTCAGCGGGCTTTACAGAAGCTCAGCATGCCATTCTTCTCAGTGTGTCAGATACCTGAGGAGGTTTGATCACCGCTGTTCTCTGTGTGTGTGTGTGTGTGTGTGTGTGTGTGTGTGTGTGTGTGTGTGTGTGTGCTGAGAGCATGGAGTGAACATCCTGTGCATTTCTCTGCCTTCACTGGAACAACATCCTCTTAATCAACACCATCCGCATGTGCAGCATGTCTGCATGAACACACATTTCACATCAAACAGGGGTGTATGAGAATATTCCAACAGAGTTACACATACCCCACTCCTTTCATTCTGTAAATTACCACCCACACACCCGACAAAACCACCAGTACTGCAGTAGTACTAGATACAATACCAGATACAATATAAATCCTACAGGACATGACAACTCTCATGACACTAAAAAAACTTGCACCCTCAGTTATCGAACCGGACAACATTTAAAACAGAACAAAATCATTATGCACACATTGGGCTCTCATGTTGTTCGCGTGAGCGCAGCATGACTCTGGGGACTGTTTCCATAAAATGAAAAGTATCAAGAAACATCAATAAGGACAGTGCATACAGCCGATGAAGCAAGCACCATTGGTCTTCACTTATTTAACTACGGAAATCAATAAATACACTTGCATGCAGTAAAATCCACTAAACAGTGACCCTCACAGCACCCTGTGTACTGATTTTTTTAGGAATGAAACTCTGAAGTAAAGAGCATACCCTCAATTCTCATTCAGATGTCTTGTGAGGACCTTGCATGACAAGGAAAAATAAGTTTAAACCTCCAGATTACATATGAATGAATGTGCTACCAAGACCTCTTTCAGTCCATCCCATTAAGGATCCCATTGATTTTTCAGACTGATGTAAATGGACATCTAGGTTTATTAGGGCTGGTTTAGCCCAATGATCAGATTTAATGTGAGACTATGATCCTTTTGAGAGAGGAAATAATTCATTCGACTGCTAATCACTCCCACAACCTCTGGTCAAATGAAGTCACATTTGTTAGCATAATTTGGAAGAATATGTTTTTTTTTAAACGTAATCTTATTTGTTAAGATAACAGACAGAAGAAAAATGTTGAACAATGGTTTAATGTTTCAGTAGATTATGAGCATTAAGGCGACCTTTTATAGCTCTCAGTCAATTTACAGACTCATATGGGGGTACAGCTGTGCTAAAGTAACACCATACCAATTAGCACAATCTGGTGTTACTGTAACTATCACAGTTCTTGTGCTATTTAGTAATGTAGAAACCTAGCATGGACATTATTAGAGGAAGTATGAAGGGTAGATTGATATGCATTATTAAGGTGATTTGCTCACACACTGTACATGTTGAGTGCAGATTTGATTTGTTGTCAATCTAAGACTGAACAGGACTCACTGCGTCCTCACTGCGCATCACACTCCCCCCTCCCTCCCTCTGGGCCAGTGTCATAAAATGCGAATACGTATCTATGCACTTGGTTTAAATAAGGGTATCAATAAAATGCCACGTCAATAGATGCATCATTCAGGATCATGCCTCCTGTGCGATGCCCACACGTACAGAAAGATTGCATGCTGATGCTGTGTCCTACCTGGAGGGCAGAGCGCTCCACAGCCCATGTCTGTCTCTCTCCGTCCCCCCAGACTCAGGCATCCTCTCCTGGCTAGCAGGACCATCTTTCTCCCCCGCAGCTCATCCTCCAGAGGCTGAGCTCACGAGTCTCTCATATAAAACCTGACTCCAATATAAATTCTATATATGCTCTATTTTCACAGAGGATGTAGAGTTATATATTACCTCTCCTGTTTTATGTGCTGTATTCTGCTTGCACTGCACACAGTTGGTGTCCATCTGCATCCAATGCAAAGCCCTCGCTAATGCTGTAAAAAGCTCCTGACCTTCTCTTCCCTTTCACACCATCTCGTCTCCATCCTATAGCTTTCTTTCTCATCCTTTATACGCTCTTTTCCTTTTTTTCCTTTTTCACTCGGTCGTTTCTGCTGTTCAAGCCAGTGGCCCTTCTCTCTCACTGCCATAGACGTCACAAGGACTTAAATCTAATCAATGATCAACGCAAGGGCGACCCAGTCCACGTTTTCCATCAAATCATGGAACATGCTGCAGACATCCTACACATTGCACTCAGCGTACATCTGTGTATGTGTGGTGAACACGAGCCAGCGTGAATGTAATGCGATTGCATGCTGTGGACAAAGACAACATAAAATGGGGCTCAGCTGTGCAACAGTATCCTGAATGACACAAAGTAATCATCCAATTGAAAGAGACCTTTCTCATCCCATGATAAAACACGGCCTTTAATAATGAATGTCAGGCACACTGAAGCCTGCTGTATTTTCAAAGCAACCCTGGATAGCTATAAACTGTATTGGGGCATTTAAAAAAGAGGCTTCTGGAGTATTAATCCAATATAGTAAGATTTGTTAACATTGTGAAAGAAGGTGAGGTACATTTACATGCTTATGAGCAAGGCAGTGAATCCTTAAAGCTACAGAGCTGATGTTCTGTATCTGACCCTGACCTCTGACCTCGGCCTGGGGATCAACCCCCCCCCCCCAAGAGGAACAACATTACCACAAATGTTCCTGCAGTAATGTGGGGAAGGGAGTGTGATGGTGGACCCAGCCTCCTGCCTCAGTCTGTAACGGGCCTGTGTTTACTCGTGCCTCATTCCTCACGTATTACAGTAGTAGCTGATTCAATACCTTACATGGATACAGACACAGCCCGCGGCCATGAAAACACATACACACACACACACACACACAAGCAGCAACACGTTGTAGTTAATTGCTGTTTCTTTGTCATTAATGTAAATTCAAAGCCGAATTAAAAGTATAAATCTTAATAGCTAACTGAAATGAGGACGCATAGTAGTGTTGAGTTTATGGGGATTGCTGCTGTTTGTTATGATGTGAAATATCGTTATAACTTAATAATCTAATGTTTACTTTTGAAAAACAGAACAGTTTAAAAAAAAGAACCGCCAACGGCTGTGGAAGTTTCTGGTTCGTTATTTTAGCTAGCCGTTAAACGCTACCTTCTTTAGCCTTTTTCCTTCTCGCCAAAGTTCCACCAAGTTTTCCCAGGAAAGAGTCGTCTTTCTTTCTGGAAGACGGGGATTTCGGCGTCGGAGATTTCGGAGAGGACGGGGACTTCTGAGGCGAGGAAGCCATCGTCGTTAACGATGATTTAATCCAGGACGGTTAACGCAAAACTGTCCCGAGTTGACGTGGAAATGAAAGTCGGTTGGCAAGTGAAGTTAAAAAAAAAAAAAAAAAAAAAAAATCACCGTCCACTCCCAAAAGCGGAAACGGAATTCCAGACATTTTCTCCCCGAAGTTGGCTGGAGTGAGTGGCCCCTCCTCTGTGTGGGAGGGCCCGCAAAGCAGGCCACAGGACGACAACGGGACGGGAGGTCGGTTTGGGTTTTAGGAGAGGCGCAGCTGCTGACCGGGGGAGGAGGAGGAGGAGGAGGAGGAGGACCAGGAGGAGCTGAGGGGTCCCAAAAAGTAGAAAGGAAGATACACCACCAACACCACAAGAGGCCGTGTTTTACAACGCTTCATTGGTGACACAACATTATGAAAAGGAGCACCTTTTTTTCTCTCTGACTGCGGGACATTATTTTATTGTTCCGTGGTGTTTGCAAGCTTGTCAAATTTTATGTTAATCTTGCAAGCATGTTGGAAGATAACATGAATACCTCAATTACATGTAAAATAAATAAATAAACTAGAAAATCCCACTATATTAGCTGAAGCTAAACTGTTGCTGCCTTGAATTTGTACAAAGAAGCAGTTAAGTAGTATTGAGAAATGGAAAAAATGTCTGTTTTCAAAGATGTATTAAAGTCTTACAGTCAACTTAACACCAAGTCATTAATTTTCCAACCAGTACTTTCTAGTGTATTTAACAAAAATCTTTTAAAATATTTTTGTAATTGTACATCTGAAATATATATTTAATGTTGTTTAAACGTATTCGAACTTCTCTTGTTGTGTGCATTGGGCATACAATTTCTATGCTATCCATCGAGCTTTACAATATAAAAAATATTTTAACATTAAATATTTGAGTTGCATTGTAACACAAATTAAGGTTTTAAGAGTCCATTCATCTTAATGGGAAAAATGTCAGAAAAACGTTGAATATGTTGGAAAGTATGAAATATATATACATATAAAAAAAAATGAATACATTCAATAATGTCTTAATGGAGGTGAACATTTTAAAGTTTGAATGGAATTTCTAGGAGAAGATATGAATCAAAAAAAGGTGAAATAAAAATAGTTTCTGAGAACATATAGCAGGATTGCATTTGCAGCAAGGAGTTTGCAGATAAGAGTCACAACTTCAATCTGTCTCAGTAGGAAAAGATGCAGCCATTATAACAGTTATCAAAATTTTAACTTCATTTTTATTTAATATTTTTTTCAATTCAAAAGACTTGAAGCAGCATAAAACCAAAACAAAATAGAAACACTACACAGTTTTTATCACAAAAACATAACTTCCTCTTAACTCAGTGTTTGTTAATTCACACCATAATCAAACATAACATTTAAAGCCCAAGGACTAAATTAGAAGTGTGGTTCCTTATCCTAGGGTTAAAACTCATGTAAACACATTATTCATCTTGTCATGGGGGAGATAAGCCTGTCATTTTGACTCAAAGCCCATAGAATAGATTGAACGAGCTATTCACTACATAGCCAACATTAGCATTAACAACTGTTTACTTAGGAGTCTTAGCAAGAGCTTCAGCCATTGTTACATTTACAAGAGGTTACAATGCGCCTTCTGAGCAGCACTACTTCCTCAGAGCACCCTGAACTGTACAGTGACTCGGTATCGGAAAGTAACAAGACACTCCGACTGGGCCAGGGCTAGCTGGTTAGCATGCTAACTTAAGTACAAGAAGAGAAGTGATAGAATTTTTTTTTTCCCCCACCACTGGAGACAGCTCTTGGTGGGTAATTAAGTTTGCTGCTAAACTCTCAATGTTTCTTCTAGACTGGTAGTTAAACAGCTGTGAATGCTAACGTTGGCTATGTAGCGATAGCAAAACAAATAGCTTCTTAAACAATCACAGTTTAACTGACAGTAGTTGGTCACAGATCAGGCTAAATCCACTCTAAACTAGAAGCAGCATAAAACTGCCTTCTTTGCATTAAATCTTTCAGGCATGTCACATCACTGACCACGCCCCAGTGATTTCACAGCAGGTGGGTTGCCTTGACAGCTGGCGGAGGGCAGGGGCTGTGACATCGGTGATTAGGGTGTGGCCACATCCGCAACCTGCAGTAAGTTTCAGCCTGTGCAGCAGTAGTTTTCCGGCCTGTGATTCAGTCTTGGATTATGTGACAACTAGTGTCGCAAAGGAGTAAAAGGGTGAAATTCTCAGCCACCTGGCCTCTTACCTGCTGACTACAAATACCTTGCAGTTAGGATGTTGTTTTCTCCTGTGCTCATTTGTGTCTGGGTGTGAATACAATTAAATTTTATGTGACAGTGTTCCAACATGAAGTGAAAAAATAATATTAAAATACGCACAAGAAAGCTTGCATTCACACAAATAGTTACAATTTGACTAACAGTGATTTAAATACAGCACATCTCTGGATTTATGACACAGATATATAACAATTCACACTGTGACAAACACTGCAACTTCAAGAAAAGTGTGGAGTTGTTCCATGTGCTATCCAGTGAGGCTATACAGTGTTACAGTAGTAAGAAATCTGTCACAGCAGTTCTAACTCTTAAGGCAAGCAACCACATGGAGCAGCTGTTGATTAGGAAAGTCAGTTTGGTTTATGAAGTGTGCATACATTTTCAGGCAGTCACATTATTATCATAAGTGGTTAATCATATTGTACAACCATTTTCAGCAGGTCAGTGTCCGCCTGGGCCATGACGGATTACCCTTCTGAGCACAGAGGTCAAATAACCTTAATGGCAGAGATGTTATTAGCCCTCATGGCTGTAAAGGAAGTCATTAGCTCAGGCTCCATTTCCAGTCATCCTTATTCTCCGAGCTCAGCATACCAGCGCAATGTGACAGAGAAGTGAAGAGACAAAAGCTTCGCTGTTGTCTTTGGGCTTTCATGACATTTCCATCCTCAGCTGGATTTTTAGCAAACAAACCACACACAAACTATTGTGGTAAAATTTTACCCTGTTTCTTTAAAATAGTGATGTGTACATCTTTATGATTCTGTTCTTCACCACCGAGGTGCTCAAGATTCAACCCTCACACTCCAGCTTCTCCTGCCCCCAGCTGTCATCCGCCTGGGCCCAGTGGAACTCGTAGCCCTTGGACAGCACGAGGCTTTCCAGGTCCTTGTCCTCAGCCCTCTCCTTTAGCCTCTGCTCCTCCAGTATGGAGACCAACATGTCCCGTTTCTCCACTGTCGTCATGATCTCCGACAGGATCCCCTGCTCCTCCTGGAGCTCAGAGGCGCTCTTCTTTGTATCTGGAGTAACGGAGGAAGAAGTTTATGTACCGTTATGTGTCATTAAGTCATATTTTTTTGCGTGTGTTCATCCCCTTACCCTCTATTGCCATTCTGCATCGTAGATCTTGTTGCAGTCGGCTCTGTGTGTCCTCCAGTTCAAGCTCTTGGGCGCTAAGAGAGAGGAGACAATTTGGTGACCTCCACTGGCGAGCAAGATGAATTACAACAGTTCTAACACGTTTTCCTGCACAAGTTTGATATCGGTGTCTGATTAGATGCAATTTCTTACAAGATCATGAGTTCAGACTCATAGCGTGCCAATCTGTTCTTCTCCAGGACAAGTTTAAACCAGGACTGATAGAGCTGGGCCTCATCGCTGTCCTCATCCTGAGACGGTTCTGCGAGGAGGTAGGAGGAAGGTAGAGAGATGTATGAATGTAGCAGGGTTGAGAGGGAGAGAAGAAGGCAGGATGGAGAAGAAAGAACAAATATTTCCCGAGTTTTACGTCAATTATGTGAAGCCACTACAAGAAAAGAAGTCATACTGGAATCAAACCTCGAACAGACACAAAGGGCATCTGCTTTGTATCAACCTGAAAAGACTTCACTCTTCACTGGAACACAAACAAAGGCCTGTACTGTAAAAAGATGAAGCAACAATATAAACTCGCTGTCTATTGTGAGTACAGCCATTAACTGTATGTAGAGGCTTTTAACCAGATCGGGATTATGGAGCGAGAAGTATGGGCACAGCAATTAAAAGAAAAAGAAGAATGAGGCTTTCACAGTGGAATTCCATTGAGCTCTATCATAGATTGAACCAAGGTGTTATGGTGCAGAGATGTGCCGTTAAAAGTATCTTTGTAATGTCTTCTTCAGGCTCAAAGATCTTTGAAAGGTGCTGGACTGTATGTGCACGTATTGTTTAGTACCTGTTTCTCCTCTTATGATCTTCTCTATAGACACTCCTCTCTCTTCTAGGTCTCTCTGCTTCTCTCCAACTTCCTCAAGTTGTCTTTGGATCACCTGGGCAACGCAAAAATGACATTGTACGACACATGTAATTAAACACAATCAAAGGAGACTGGATTTGATAGAATTTGGTTCATCCAAATCTTCCGGGCGCATAATATAATTCAGCTGCAACATTTCTTTCTAGAGCGTGTCCTTGTTATTTGGGTTATCCTGAATATCTTTGTTAACACTTTTCAAAGGGACGATTTCTTTGGTAGAAAGTATTTAAAGTAGTTGTGTGTATCCACTAATGGATTATTCAGAGCAACAAGGACATCAGTTCTGGAAAAGGAGGTTTATGATCAATATTCTATATCTTGTTTGTATAATCCGTACAAAACCTTAGTTTTAAAAACGATACCTTGTGGTTTTCCTGAAAGTCTTACAAATCAAATACAGTTGATGCTGTTTTTTCTTTTTTTTTTTTTTTAAATATAAACACATAATAAAAGTGATTCACTATCAGAAAGTGACAAAAGCTGGGGCTAGCTGGTTAGCGTGCTAACTTCAGTAGAAGAAAAGACAACACAACGACAAGAGCTAACATTGGCGTTGCGTGCCACCTCTGGAGACAGCTCTTGGCGAGTAAAAGAATGAAGTTTGATGCTGAACTCACAACATTTCTTCTAGACTAGTAAGTAAAGAGCAGTTAATGTTAACGCTAGCAATGTAGCAATAGCAAAACTTACAAATAGCTCCCTTAAAGAATTGCCACCACCGATACGACACATGAGGGAGAAGCTAATATCAGCCGATATATCGTCCTGGATGATTTATCGGTCTAGTTCTGCTCCCAGCAAGAAAGCTAATAAGCACATTTCCTAAAAATATTGAACTGTTGGTTTAATGCGAGTAAATAAGATCAAATCTAAAGATGTTTTTCTTCCTTTTGCAGCTCAAAGGTGTAATTTAGACTCCTAAGGGAGGTGTGTTTAGATACAAAAACGTTGCCTGGTGCAACTTAAATGTACACTGACAGACATAAAAGAAAAATCACTGCCTACAGAGTAATAGAATCTAACAGAAAGGTGAAGAATAATAACATCACTCTATTAAATCTGAACAAAGTGAACCAGCCATAATAAACACGCACTGAGCTGGCTACTTATTCAAACACAGGAGATCTTTTCAGTTTGTGGGAGCAGTAAACCTTTATCTTTAGGAGCATCAGGTAAATGTTAAAAAATGTCAAATGTATCATGATCACTGGTAGCAAAAAGCACTTCACTCTGACAGATATTGAATGTTTTCACATTTTTTTGGTCAAGGCAGACATAAAAAATACAGTGTACTGAGGCCATGGACAGCTCTCCCGCATGAGCCATTTAATTAAAAATGAGTGACTCTGAAAAGGAAAGAATAGTACCTGAGCTCTGTGAAGTCTCTTCAGCTGTTCTCTTTTCGTCTGCTGGGCTACTATCTTCTCCTGCTTTCTCCTCTGTCTCTCTGTACACAGCTGGGGGGAGGAGGTACAGACCGTTTCAGAAAATGTACACACACGCAAATACAGCATATATAGCATTTGCCTGCATTGTGCTGTCTGTCGGTACATAGAAATGGTCTGTGCAAACCTCCTGACTGAATGGCAGATTTTCATTTTCATTTTCATCGTCACTGGAGGAAAGCTCTTCCAGGTTCTGTTGACTGGAGGCTAGATTTAAAAAAAACAAAAAGGAAATAATACAGTGAGAATCAAAATAGTTGATGTTTGCATGAAGTAATAGTTTTCATATATAACCTGTAGAACTGATAATATTTCAATGATATCTGGGTAAATGTCACTTTAGAGAAGGACAAACAAAAAACAACTTTTTAAAATGATTGACCTCCATCACCTCTCACTTGAACCTGCAAAACTAATGGTCCCCAACCTGGGAGTTGAGACACTCAAAGAGGTTGTAAAAATAGACCTGAGGAGTCACAAGATGATCAACAAGACAGGAAGTAAGGAAAGAAAAACTTCCTCTTGCCCACTTTGTTTTTTTTACAAAGATAACATCAATCGGTGATGATGGTTTTTAGAAATTATTTAAATAAAACTATTAAAGAACAAAACATCACTTTTTGGTTGAACTCACAACTACCCAACTACCCACTAACTAACGGTCAAGTGCCGTTTTATAAAATGGGTGGGGTTAGATAGTCACCCCCCCAAAATTAACCACCCTGGAGTTCAAGATGAGTCATCAAAAACTGATTTTTTGATATAAAAATATTCATAAATAATCTTTTTTTTAAAACGTATATTGAGCATGTAAGCAGATAATTAAAAAACAATTAAAACTTGGAATGTGGAAGTGCATTTTTCACTTCACTTTAAAGGATCACAAGCCAAAAAGGTCAAGAATCACTGCACTGACCTTTGTTTCGGAGGTTGGTGAGGATAGTGCGGATTTCCTTTTGAGCCTCCTGGTCCTTCCCCTCGCTGTCCGACGCCTGCTTCTTCCTCAGCCTCAGGGAGGAGAACAAGTCGACCCTCCTGCGGGGCAGCGAGCCCATGTCATCAGAGAACACCCCTTCAGAGTCCCTCCGACCCTTCAGAGACACCTGCTGCAGCAGAGAGGGCAGGTCCCGCCCGCCGCCCCATGGGTCGGCCCCTACGGACGCCAACCGTACTTCACGCTTGCCAGCCTTCTTCTGCCCTGCGGACGGCTCAGGACCTACAGAGCTGAGGAAGGAGCTGAAGTTCAACGCTCCCTCCGACATGGGCCTCTGTCTGTGGAGGCCGTCACGTTTAGGTCTCCTGGTGAAGTCAAAGACAAATCATAATGTACATTTCATTTGAATTGAATCTAGAAACTAATAGCAAAGTGGCAGTTTGGACCGATAAGATTTTTTACTGAAAAATCTTGCTCACAGCAGATTTTTAATGTGGTGCTTAAAATAAACTATGAGCAAAGTATTTTAATACATACATAGTGACTGCAGCGTTGGAGCTGCTGGAGGGATTGGTCACACTAAATGTCCTCCTGAAGGCATTGGCTATAAGCTGGAAGGCTGAGTGGGAGGAGGCAGGGCTTTGGCTCTGGGATGGTTCTCCGTCCTGGCGCGAGTCTGTGTGAGGCTTATCTGCTTCTGTCTCTGCTTGTACCTGATAAAACATCAGAGGACAGAAAAAATGCAGTCAACATAACGTGGAATTACCTCCTCTTATCTCTGTCATATCACTGTCTTTGGACCGCTGCTTTATACTGTAGAAGGGGTAGATAAAGAGGAGATGACTCTTTCATATCCAGGCTTATTCTTCACTAGAGAAACAACAGAATTTTCTGCCTTAATAAATACGTCTCCACCTGGTCTCTGTGTTGCTGTGCAGACTTGGCGTCTGCGTTAACAGGAGTTTCCTCTGGTGTGACCTCCACATCCCAGTTTAGAAGCTTCTCTTTCTCAGACGGAGATATCTTTAAGCGTGTCTTTTTGGGGGACGGGCTGCAGACTGCCTTCGCTGTAGCGGAGTGTTTTTCGCTCTTCTCACGTCTCTTTGACTGATTCGGGGAATCTGCTGATGTCTTGGAAGTGACATCACAGACCTGAGAGAATATAGAACAGAATCAGTGTTGTTCAAACAGGGTTATTAAAAACATTGATGCATTGTCAGTGAATCACAGAAGACTATAAGAATGTGCTGCAGGTGTCAAACTAATTAAGAATGGATATCACTTGATATACAGTTTGTTGTTCTGCTGTAGTGATCTCCTCAAAGTCGGAGTCGGCTTCAGGTACAGTCTCTGGTCCCTCTTTGTAGCTCCTCTGGAAGTGCTTGATGAAGATGAGAGGGAAGGCTGCAGACACAGACACAACAGAAATAACACGATATCAAAATACCACAAATACTGGATCCACTTTGTGCCATTCAGCTACATAAATGTGGATTAATGATCCATTTTTAACTAAATACCACAAGAATATGAAATAAGTAAGCAGTATTCAAATGTGAAACGCATCATTTCAGATTTGTTCAGTTCACATTTCCCATAAAAGGGATTTATTCTTGTAGCAAGGCAACATAAAAATATGAACAAATAAGAAACTGAGATATTAACAGAATGCACACAATGCAAAGGAATACTGCAACAATAAGTGGGTAAGATAAAGTGCTGAGTTGTGCAGGGAAATAAGAGGTGGTTTCTGTTAGTTGAGAATTAAGTGCTTTTGGGAACATGGGAGAAATAAAATCTTGAACCTGTTGCATCTGATTTTTTTTTGGAAACCTGCACGACTGACGGTGGATTTTCTACGACTGAAATGTGGTCAAGTGTTTCAGTGTCAGCTGATGTTTTTTTTTGTCAAAAGAAAGAATTTTGGATTCGTTACGATGAATTCAGTTTAAAAAGTCTGACATGTTAGGCCGTGACTCAGCCACAGTTTCACACCTGCACTGTTTCCCAGTTGCCTCCTTAAAGACGAATGACTAACTGTCTAAAGACGAAGGGTGTTGTGGCGTACTCCTCTCCAGTGCAACATCAGCACTATATACACGATATAGAACGAAGCTTATGTCACAGCTCATTCTTAAGGCTGATGAAAACCTTCTGTACGACTGACTGGTGTTTTCTGACAAACCTACACCTGCAATGTTTCCAGAACAATGAGACCAAGGCTAAACAGAGTTAATAAACCAAAAAAAATAATAATAAGTGAATATCTCCAGAACCTCAGTACAATTCACCCACTCTCTCCATGTGTTTAAAAGAGAACAATACTGACCTCTAGTGTTATATATGTGGCATTACAGTTTACTAAATGTGTGCAGACACTGTATCTGTATCTTCTGCCCATCTACACTCTCAACACGTTTGTAAATGAGAGATTTGAGAATAAATACATTTCTTAAAGTAGGGTTTCATTTTGGCATTAAGTGATACTGAGTATAGACGATTTCTGTGATACATATATGATGTGTATATATATTTACTGTATATATACATAGACAACCATCTATCTGTTGTTAGAAGAAAACAGACCAAACACATGACTTCAGTTCTCAGTCAAACCTAAATGACGATACAGTTAAAAATCAGGAAATTCTAACTGAAGATAGAAAAGCAAAGCACTGACAGACAAAAGAGAAACGTAAGGGACTCACTCGCTCGGATCTTCCTTTTCCATCGAGTATTCTGTTTGGTGTTGCTATGATCTACAAGACAAAATCAGAGACAGGAAGACTTTCATTATGGGGGGGGGGTACTGGTCCAAATGGTAACACAATGACACCTATAACATCTTCAGCATTTGACCTGTTGATGGCGCAAGATGAAAAGTCATGTGTTCACCAAAGTGCAGCACAGTATGTGAATGAACAGATGCAATACAGGCATAGACGTCTACACACAAAAGCTCATGGTGATCCATCCATTAGCTGATGAGATATTTGACGTCTTGTCCAAAGTGGCAGACACGACGGAGTGACTGACCAGACACCCCTACAGCCACATTGTGAGTTTGGTTAAATGAACAAACTGCTCACATGATGGTTACAGCAACAACAAATACACCTGACTGCATCTGATACACTGAGGAATTCACACACAGGATTATCCTTCATTACCTGACAGGAAATCTTCTGTGTGTGCAACCAGACTTAACTAGATGTAATTAAAAGGTCTGTTTCCTTTACTAATGCTTAGTGTGTCACAAGCTGTTGGCAAGAAGTGCCAGAGAATAAAATGTCTAGAAGGACAGTTTTCAGTTTTATAAGTTCAATAACCAGATAAAAGGAAGCATTCTGCTACGACTAAGTGCACTAGTAAAAGCTAACACTGTGGAGTTAGCCTTGTTACTGCCTGTGCAGAAATGTTCGCTGACTGTTTAGACAAGGAAAACTCAGCTGCTGCTGAGATAAAACAAACATTTAGCTGAGAGCGGGAGCTTTATGTCCGCCGCACCCTGCTTTCCCAGACACAACCAAGGGGAGGGACTCCAACACAAACACACAGACGTACGAAGCGGGGTCACTAGTTAAAGTTCAGCCAGTTTAAGATTCTCCCACTGGGGATATCATGTTTTCAAGTAATAACAGACGCTGAAAAGCCATTAGAGCAGCACAGTATCTTTGTGAGAAAAACAAGAGAGTTTTGAGGTGAGGTGAAAAAGGTTTTTACATATTTTGAGGGATTGAAATATAGGCTGCACTGACCTTTGGTGCTGGCGTGGCTTTGGCCCTTGGACCCTGTGGCGTCTTGTGTTGTGGATTTTACAATGCAGGAAGCATCCAGAGCGTCCACAGCAATCTCTGTGTCTTCAGGAAGTCTTTTCTGACCTTTATCGAGCTGCTCTGGAGGCAAACTGGACGGTCCATCTGGAAATATTAAGTTCTAATTAGCATTAATTTAAAGCTAATCTAATTTGCAGTAAAAAAAAAAAAAAAAAGACTAACATATAGTTAATTTCATGCATATTATCCCACTGGATGTCTACTTCAGAAAACCAAGTTAGCAGTTACTACTAGTGATGAATGATCAAAAACAATCAGTGTGACATGTTCATTAATGGTAACCAAACAACTGTAAACATTCCCATATATACTTTTCATACAATAAAAGAACTTATTGAAAATATCAAAAGGCATTACAGTGTACTTAATTTCAAACTCAAAAAAAAAAAAAAAAAAAAAAAAAAGGTATTAATTTCTATTAGCAGCACAAACACTGATAAAACACACGACACGTTCATGACAGAGTACTCACAGAATAATGAAGTCACACATTGTACAGAAGGTGATTCCACTTGGTCACAGCAAATAAATGACAATATGTTGGTACAACCCTTGTATTGCAGTGTGTCAAATGTGATCCTTTTCACTTCTACCCATTGATATTCTCACTTTGGTTTGGCTCCGATAAATTTCCAATAAATAAAATTGCACCGATAAAACTTTACCAGATGATACATAAATACCAAGCCCCAGAGGAAAGGACAGAGAAGACCCACCAGCAGAGCCCACGAGGAAGCCGACAGGAAGAACTGACATTCACTTCAATTCTGTTCAGGTTGACTGGTAAACCATTTACACCACGTTTGATTGTAGTTAAGCTTTTGCATAAAGCTTGTTGTTTTTTTGTTTTTTTTGCAGCTACATTAAATGATGATTTTATTTTTTTATTTTTTTTCGTTGCAGCATTGAAAGCCATTTGATTAAGTTTAAGCTGCGTAACCCCACTGCTGTGCGCCTCCCTTTAAATCTGCTGCAAAAGCTCGTTCGGCTTCTCATCAGACGTTACAAAGAACATGTTATTTGTTGAGTTAAAAAAAGCTGTGATTGTGAAAATGATTTGCATGGGTGATGTTAGGTCGAACTTAGCGCAGAGGGAAAAAAAGGATTTGCTTTGACAGAGGCTTTTGGATGAAGTTGTTAATTTTGTTGTTAAAAGATGTGGAAATATTGTGAAATTTAAGATTAACTCGAATGCCATCTGTTCAGTCATGTCTACGCTTCGATTTCTTGAAATTACTCATCGCAAATCGGCTAATTGGCACAAACGACGAAGCAAATTATTTATGTAATCAAATTGATTTATTTTTTAATATATTTACAGCTTATAAATATCATAAATTAAGCAATTTTACAGGAATTGTCAATGTGGAAAACAAATAACAAGGCTGGCAAGGCTGCGTCGAGTCTTATTATAAACACAACTACAGAACATACAGAATACACCCAACAAAATGTATCTGGCAGTGTGCAAAGAGCTGCTATTGGGCTGCTGATCTCCTGGGGCAAAGTCTAGGAGGTACATGAGAGAGATCTGGAGAGGGGCTCTTGGGAGGGGAGGCCTCCTTCTGCAACAGAGGGAACCACAGACAGACCACAGACATGTGGACACATAGGTTACTGTCAAAGGGGCCTGAGAAGAAGGGAGGCGGCTGCTGCTGCTGCTGCTGCTGATGATGATGATGATACATCACAAAGAAAATTTAAATTCAGGGGCATTCAAATGGATGTTTGGTGTGTTAGGAGAGGTTAGGGAGGAACACAGCACAACATGAGTGTTAGTGGGGTTAGCTCGACGATGTTACAGCACACTAACAGAACGACTAAATGACAAACACACAAAAGTTTCCTCTACACTAACTTTTTTGCTGTGTGCGATCAGGTCTGATCCATACGTCTGCACATCGTGATCTGTTTTATGGCACTAAAGGGTGCTGATCTTCCAAACTAAAGGCCTTGAAGCAGATACCCGGCTATGATATGTACCTTTGATCGTGTCAACAAATCCCATGAAAAGACAAAAAACTAACAATGAATTGATCCAACTAATAAGTATTGTCTGGGTAGCCAAAACCTGACACATCTTATTCCTCTGTGCCATAGACGTTCACAGTTGTCCAACAACTAACAAAACTCTGAATGACAGCCAGGGCCCAGGAAGGACACTTGAACAAAATTAAAACGACTCTACATTCATGCTCCGTGAGGCTGTATGCTAATGTGGTAAATAACAATGTTTACCTTGTTCAACATCTTGTTTAAGCGTCATGCTAACTTTGGCTAATTAGCACTCAACAGGAAGTACAGCTGAGGCTGATGGAAACATTATTACTTTTCCAGATATTTGGTCACAAACCTGAGCTGATGATGTTGTTCAATGAAAAAAAGTTAAGTGATAACTCAAGTCATTAGGATTCATTCATTCATTCATTCATTTATCAATAGATGTGCCAGTAGATGTTTAGATATTTCACTGAATAAGTAAAAACTTTGACGTCGTAGCTTAGCGTTAGCTTCATCATCTGGGGACAATGAATGTCCGTAAAAGAAATTCAATCCATCCAACAGTTGTTGAGATATGATCTTCTGGGTCAAAGTGGTGGACTGACTGAGTGACAAACATTGTTAGCCACACGGCTAGCATGGCTAACAGTATTGACAAAACACACTCTTTTCATGGACTTTGTTTACAATAACTAAATTATTGATCTCGCCAAATTATTTTATTTTTGAGAAACACAAAACTAACGACACGAGTGTCGTTAGGTAGACATTAAAATGACACTATTTGTATCATACGCATGCTGTACTCGGGACTCATGCTGGTTTGTGATTGGTTAATCTTGGTTAGGAGGGAAAACGGGGTGGAGCTACAAAAGGCAGCCAATGCAAAAGCAACATGACAAGATCTTATGACTGAAGCCAGCCAATCGTCACCTTCCCCGCTGGCAGGAATCAGCCAATCAGAGGGTGCAGCATTGGAAACTCGAAACAGACTGAACAAAATGAAGTGAACAAAACGGAGGAAAATGAATTTGGGGGGGAAAAAGAAGGAAATGAATGAGATGTGGTGAAAAAGGAAAAATGGAAGATGGAAAATTGAAAGAAAACACATACAGAGTGATGAGAATTACAAGAGAGAATACTGTATGCATTAAAGTTATTACAATACGACATAACAATGAAACGTGGGAACTGCCCAAATAACAGGTCAGTGCTTTAGCAGTGCATTTTACGAACTGATTGCCAACTCTACACAATTAAACCAAGCAATCAGAGATTAATTCACCGTAAGAATCATTTATAAAATAGAGTACAACAAAAATTATCACAAATAAAAAAAAAAAGAACTGTAATACTTTGAAAAAAAAAAAAAAAAAAAAACAGCAAACAAAGTGAAATATTTTCACTGAGTCAAGAACATTCAGTCTTTTGTGGATTCTGCTTTTTTAAGCAAATACGTCCATCAGAGGAAAAACAGCCTGAAATGATCATAGATAAGGCTCACTGTTTTTGGTTTCTACAGATTTTCATCAAAAAAATATTGATAAGCTGAATTTCAAAATTCTTTTTACAACCCAATGCAACCAATTTTGTCACCGAGTCCCAGAGTAGGACTATAAATTATTAAACGGTAATTCACTTTTTTTAAATTATATTTTCACTCAGATTAAAAAAAACAAAAAACATTTGAATAATCAAACATAAATTCTCAGATTTTTTTGCGAAATAATAACCATAAATAATGAGCCCTAAATATATAAAGCTGGTCACTTAACTTCAACAAAATACATACAAAGTGAAATAGTAACAAAAAAAAATGTAATTTCAATGATCAATAATTTCCTGAAATTATATTAAAGGAAAAAAAAAATACTGTTTTGGCATTTCCATTGCACATCTCTGTGGTATTGAGTTAAGGTGCTGCAGGCAATATGCAGAGTCAGTGTAACATCAAAACACCATGTTGATTACTCCGACATAATTTTAGTTCAGTGAAATGACACCACCACAGTCCAGATGGCTTCCAAGGTTAGAGTCAGAGGGCGTGTTCCAGGTTACTGCAATTAAACGTACTCGGTATGTTATCAAAACAGATTCTTTGAGATACTTTAAAGTCTGATTAGAGCTCAGTGTGGATCGGAGTCATGATTTCAGGAACGTCTGTCTCAACATCAAACTGTCTGTTGTTATTATTACCATCTTTAGGTGATGCCTACAGTCTCAGCAGCCTGGAACAAGCCCATGTGAGTCAGCAGAGTGCAACACCAGGAGACCTCGACAGTCAACAAACAATGTACAAGGGAATCTGAGCTAATTACCAACAGTATCCCATATGCACAAGGGCTGCAGTTTTTTATTCATGCATCACCCTTAAAAGTCCCGTCGGCATGTACCATTAAGACTTAATACACAATATAGTCAAGGTGCCTGTATGACGCTGTTCTGTCCACTGTAGCTAAAGGCAGAATTCACTCCAGGCACTGAATGCAAGCAGTGGAAGTTATTCAAGTGATGCACTATTATTTAAGTAGTTTAATAAAATACTGATGGCTTCAAAAACACAGAGGTAAAATGACCATAGACACTTGGAATGTAGCAAGTACAGTTATTATTATTTGGTGTAAAAAAAATTATTACTTCTTATCAACCCCTGATTTATCAAGTTTGGGCAGGACAATAGAACAAATTCAAATTCGCCTGGTACCTATCAGGTAAACTGACCCAAACAAGGCCTCTGCTACTCCCCCTCCTACATGAGGTGGTGGCCAATGAGCTGCTGCTGGACCAGCTGGGCCAGCTGGGGCTCCTGGTAGATCTGTCCCAGCACCTCGTGCATCATGCAGAGCAGAGGAAAGCCCAGGCTCAGCAGCTCATACAGGAACACATAGTCATGTGAGTAGCTCCTGACGTGGGACCCCACAGCTGTGAAAGACTCACACACGCTTTCCAACAGCCATCGAGGCAACACACACACAGCCCGGCTAGCACGCCTCGGCCAGCTCAGGCCTCGCCTAAGCAAGGAAACGAGGGTACCTGGGGGATGGATCTGGACGCTGCCCGTCGCTGAGTAGCTCCCACTGTCCAGCGACAAGGGGGTGACGTGGCTTTGGTCTTCCTGCATGAATCAAGATATACAGGAGGGAAATGATGAAATGCAACAAAACACAGCAAAACAACAATTTAGTCCTGAAAGATTAATTAATCCATTTTCAAAACAAACAAAAAAAGTTGCTAAAAATACAACCGCTTATTTCATTCGTTTGCTACACAGACGATACACAGACAATATATCAAATTTATTTCCACGATTACAGAACATGTGGAATGATTTTTTGTTGTCCTCTAATATTTATATCACATCAAATACTATAAAGGCTTCTGACATGTTACTTGGTATACACACACAAACACACACACATATATATATGAGAAAAGTGATCTAAGACAGTCCGGCAATAAATTAAAATAACTATAATTCTATGGTCATTAAAGAAAACATATTTGTGCATTGGCATATTCAATCCAGTTACTAATAGCGTCACCATGTGGCCAGCTATACAGATTCTTTCTATATCTTGTAAAGGACACCAGCTGGCTGTGTTGCAGGTTAACATTAGCAAGTAATGACAGGAGTAATGTCACATTCTCCCCTCAGACACACTCACCCCACCTTTGCTCAGTTCCTGGATACCTATGGGATCATGATTGTGATATTTGATCCCATACACACTCAACAATTGAGCCAAGATAGCTCTAGGAAAGTGGGAAAAACACTAACATTTATCCCTGAGCTATCTCTTTAATCAGATCATACACATCAAGGCTAATTTACGGGATCTCCTTATGATAACTAATGTAATAACTTGTAATATTTTTTCTCTTCCATTCCCTGAGCCCCCGCTGGTGAGGCCTGCCTCCCACTCTGAAAATCTCTGGACTGGGGCATTAGACTGGTTTTGCTGCTTGTATGTAACTACACTGTTCCTTACCACTCTCCTTCTGAACCTGCCCAGGTGAGTGCTGGATTGACGCTGGGCGTAATGCATCTTGCAGTAGAACTTTGCTGAAAAGGAAGAAAACACAAAAATCATAAATACACTTCACTTAAAACTAAAGTGAGAATCATTCACATATTTTTGTCTAACGTCGGAGGCTAAAACAAAACTATAAATTCCCCTCCCCTCTCCTCCTTTATACTTTATAGACACACCCAGCTGGAGTAAAGCATCCATAGTTACAACGAATCAAACATACCCTCGTGTGAGTCGAAGGTGTGTCCTCCCAGACGGAGGGTGCAGTTACAGACGTCGCAGCGGAAACACTCGCGGTGGAAGAAATAGCCTTCAGCGCTCAGTCTCTCCATGACATACACCCGCTTGGTGCAGAAGTGGCAGATGTCGCTGCCGCCGAGCCCGGAGGAGAAGTCCTTACGTACCACACTCTGACATGGAAAAAGACCAGGACAAGGTTACACAGATAATAGGTGATGTTTTTTTTTGTTTTGTTTTTTTTTAGGGTTGTTGTGTTTTTCTGTGAGATGCCTGCAAGTACACAAAACAGGTTAGTCACATGATCCAGCAGTGAGATGGTAAAACTGTTAAAAGCGGCTGCAACCGTCACAGGAAATGTTGGACATAACCTCCATTAAATCAATGAAGAACAACAAGAAAGTCTCGGTTTAACTACAGCATTAACAACAGGTTAGAAGCTCTACCATGAAAGCAATATGCAAATGTTTCTTTGACACTGAAAGGTAAATACTATTAGTCTCCTAATCACTTACAATAATCCACATACTTTCAGGACCTCACTGTGGACAACCAATTCTAAAAATTTAGACAAACTTTCAGGACCTGTAAGTAATTCTTTGAACACACAGTTTGAGCTAACATAGTAAAACTTTTATTAAAAAAAAAAAGAAATCAACTGTACAATAAGTGATCCACAGTAAGTGATCCATAAGAGCTGAGGGTTTGTTCAGGGCCCAGGTCAGTCTTAGGTCTGAAAACAGTAGTTTGACATTTTAGGAAATACGCTTCTTACCATTCTTGCCAAGAGTTAGACAAGACGATCAGTACCGCTCTGATTTCTGTGTCTAGTCATCACAATGCCACAAATACGACTCCAGAAATAAATATAACACCAGCACATAACCCGGCTCTGCGACAAAAACTCGATGGAAAGGTAAAAACAAAGAAGAAAAAAAAAAAAAGGAAGCAGCAGAACCACAGATATCGTCTTTATTCTACACATTCTTCCTTACCAACATCACCCACAATGCAACTCCAACTTAAGTCGGAGATTGGGTTGTGCTATGCTAGTAACGGCTAATGTAGCTTTGCAACACTCAAGCAGAGATGAAGAGCTTAACTTACTTATTTCAAACATGCATATGGCCAGATTCCTTTTCTTTCCAAACTTGCAGACTTCAGCCCCAACTGACGCTGCCTCAAGTGACATCACTTGAGGAAGCTGCACCTTCGTATTTAAAAGGACAGATCTGAGAGTGGCACCAATTTTCTCACCAAGAAAGGAAATTAGTATATTTCCCAAAATGTCAAACTATTCCCTAACTCATCAAATGAAGAAAATATTGTAACAATTCAGCACTTGATATCTCAAACATGGAGTCTTAATACGGCTAAAGCTGTTACCAGTTTACTTTTACTTAAATGTACTTGCCAGGTTTGTCTCGTGTCTCTAGAACCCAACACAGGTGTCAGTTAATGATATACCCAGACCAGGTCAAATAAGTAGTGTTGTTACTTGAGTTAAGACACCAGTTCAACTCATGCAACTTAAATCCACACGCCTCTACCATCGCCAATGTTGTATAAGCATCCAGCTGATCCTCATCATCTAGCCTCTTCTAGCTACGCTGAAGCTAACAAGCTCTTTCAATAAGCAGATTGAGGCCAAGCAGTGATTAAACATGACTTCATGTGAGCAATTGCAAGCATATGACGCAGCCAGTCGTCTGAAGCTTTATCCCATGTCTCTGTGGTGTGACACCATTTCGCACTGATGCAAACGCACTAGCTGCTGCTATGGAAAAAACACAGAACCGATTTACCCCTGTAGCCTTAGGAGCCCTCCCTGGCCACGGAACTAGAGCCTGAAAAGCAGATGATCTGTTGTCATGGCTGGTCGCAGTAGAAAAAACAAAAACAAAACAAACTCTTCACTTTGTTTTGCGGTGACAGTGGATCTTTATCCTACATTTCAAAACTGTACGTTATATTGTAGGAAAAAACAACGACACTTAGTAATGACACTTCTTCATAATGATGCTGCTGATAGTTAAACATATAAGCTGCATTACACTTAAACCGCAGGACAACACGGGCAAAAACAACAAAAGGAAAACACCATGAACTCTGGGTTAGATTTGTTTCTGCAACACCCACATGCATCTTACCATAGTGGTATTGGGCCTGTGGTCTGTCTCATAGAGGATGGCCAGTAACTGAGCTTTAGCATCTATGGCTGATGATACTTTTCCAACTGTGCGCTAACGTAAAACGCCAAAGATACACAGAGCAGAAACAGAAGGAAAGAGGAAACAACAAAAGAGGAGTTATAAAATTTCATGATTCACTTTCAGTATGTGGAACTGCATTTAGACCGAGGCATTAACTGGTACCTCCTTAATGTAACTGGGAGCTCCAGTCGGACAACTCTCAGAGCGAGCAATTGACTTTCGACTGATCCTTTTGGCGTTCTCAAGAGCGCAGCTCCCGTTGCACTAAATGAACACCACAATGAGCATCATTCGTACAATGACACACAGTTTATCTACGGCATGCAAACAGAGTGAAAAGAATTTTTAACAATCCATATTATATTATAGTTAGAAATTTAAGAAGGTGTTCATTATCTGAATTAATATACTTAATTTTAGAGTCTTTGAATTATTATTTGAAGATGTGTACTGTATTAATCTGCAGTGTTTTGTAAGCCGATGTGGACTGTGCTCATGTTGCCTGCTGGGCAAGGCACCAATAACAAAAACATAATTATAACCATCTTAAAATTGTCAATATTCCCCTTTACTGCAGAGTAGGATACTTTCCGTGGAGCTTTACAGGTTATTCGTACCGTCCTCAGCCAGGGTGTTCATATGCATAACGGAACCATTACCTTCATGTGTTCATGTTCAGCTAATTTCCCATCATCAAGTGTCTCCTGAGCAGCTTTGTGGACCTCCTCCTGCTGCTCAGTCTTACGATTATTCAGACAGCTCTCATGTTTCCTCTCATGCGTGTGCAGCAGAGAAGACGAGCTGCTGTGTCCATTCTCACAGTGTGTGTCAGAGAGGGGAGAGGAGGCCTCCTGACTCTCGTCAGAGCGAGGCAAAGAAAGGGGAGGAGACATTTCGGTGGAGGAATCAACACTGAGAGATGATATTTGCTCTGTTTTTTCAGAGTCAGCGTAAGACAACAGAGGAGAGGAGTCTTTCTGAACCTTGTCCTTGTGTCCAGAGGTGTAGAGGGGAGAGGAGACAGAGGAGAAGCCAGCCTGGACAGTGGGGTCAGGGACAGGGTGGATCACAGGGTAGACGGCGGAGCTCTTAGATACAGAGGCAGAGGAAGGAGGAGGTGGGGATGAAGAAAGAGGGGAGGAGGTAGATACTTCCACCTACAGAAGAAGAGTTAGACAGAAATTAAAGAGTAGAATAGAAAGATGATACAGGAGAGACAATAGCTGGATCTCGTTAAATCCAGAGCTGAGTGGGTGGAGGGTGTGTACGCAAGTCAGTGACATTGAAATCAGGATCTGTATATTTAATGTGTACGATTAAACAATATTGGGTTAGGGTTAGGTAACCCAATAATCTATTGGCATATTAGACTGCAGGTAAACACGGCTTGAGAGATAACAAATAGTAGGTAACTGACTGAGTGACACATCCTCACGTTGTTTAGTAACGTACCTTTACAAGTGTCACATGTTACACATATTGTACAGTATTGCACACACAGCATTCATATATTGCAAACACACAGTGGACTCCTTGTTAACATACAGTATGTGCTCTGTGTGGGGGAATTAGTTCTGTCTGTGCTGACTACATAAAGACGCCATGGCAGTAGGAGCATGTTGTCAGTAGTTTTGTATAAATCAATAAATGATTAATGCAGGATTCGTGTGATTGAATCTGCACGTCATCTGAGGCACAGTAAGAGCCAGCGAACTTTGATTGATTCAACCGAAGGAGCCAAATCATCACTCGTTGCAAAATCCTCTTGCTTTAAGGAGCTCTGTTTTGGCAGAGAGAACACGCACTCTCTTCTGCATCCTGCACCGGATCATTATCTCTCTTTGTGAGTGTGTATCGCAGCAACAACACTATCCGCTGCCAGTTTAACAGGTTAGGACAGGGCTGGAGCTCTCCTAAATACTGACTCAGACAAGAGTCGTTTCCCAAGTGAAGAAAGCTGATAAAATGCTTTTTTACTTCTGGTCATAAAAGTTGCATCACTCTGCTTTTTGGCTGGTGAGGACTGATTTCCCAATCAGAGATGCTTTGATAAATGCCGGCCCAGTTTAGTTTTGCTTCAAGAGGGAACTTTGGGAAAGTGTGCTGGATAATAGTGACCTCAAAATTGACAGAAAAACCATGAATGCACTGCCTACATTACATAAGTTGTCCAGTTTTTCGACGACCAAAACTCACTTGAAACTAATGATGAAAAAGCAGAGACAGCAAACAATGGCAAGCGATCAAATGCACTATAAAGTAGTAAAAAAACTTCTCAAATAATGCAAATTTAGAAGACTACTAATCAAAAAAGAATAATAATAATAATCATAATCCACCTGAAGGTCTCACACAGTCCAGCAATTGCCAAGTGACGGTGGATGGTGAAATAACATTGTGGTTTTGGCTACAAACAATGTAGAAAGTTTAATATACACACTTGTTCCAGCAGTTTCCATGAACATACTGCAGTCTCAACTACATTATTATTCATGCATAAAAAAAGGTCCATGCCAGCAGCTGGTGTAATACACAACCTGTGACTCAGAAGGAGCAGAAAGAGGAGCAGGAGTAGGTTTGTTGGACCCAGGAAACATGGAGGAGAGGAGGACGGCTCTCTCCTTTATACTCCTCCTAGAAAACGCTCTAGTTGTCAGATTCTGGGCTTTACTCTGCAGGCGGTCGAAAGCAGGAACAGAAAAACATGAAAAATGAGTTTTTAGGTAAAAGTTAAGGTGAAAAATATTGTATATAAGTGGCATGAAATTCACCTGCTCATGTGACTCATCTGAACTCTCAGCAGGATGATCAATAGTTGATAGAGTAGAAGCAGAAAAGTGACTGGTTGCAAAGTCAGGTGTGGTGTATTCTGGGTAGTAATGTCCGGTAACGTTAGGGCTGGGCGAGCGGGGAGGACCCAGTGGGCTCTTAGAGTATGAGGGGGAAGGAGAGCGACTGTAGCCGCTCTCAGGGTGAGAGGGTTTGGGGGAAGAGAGGACGCTGGTCTGCGGAGTCACAGAACTGGAGCTCTCCAGTAAGCGAAGGTAGATGGAAGGCTGGAGGAAGAGACGAGGAGCAGGAGAGAGGAAGAGGAAACAAGAGAACGTGGGTTTACGGCGGATATCAAATTTCATGCGCTAATGACTGACAACACTGATTTGCATACCTGCCACTTGGGGCGGGTGGGGGGCAGAGCAGGAGGAGGGGGGGTGTCTTTGGGCTTTGCAAAACGGGGGTTTTCTCTCTCCTCCTCCTCCTCCTCTTCTTCCTCATCATCCTCCTCATCTGAGAGAGGAAGTGGGGACGTGGAGGGAGACAGAGAAGGACTGGATGGGTCCTCATCAGACTGACGTGCAAGGAGGGGAGGAAAGGAAAGGAAAGGAAAGGAAAGGAAAGGAAAAGGCCTTGAAACATAAATAAATTAAAAAATGAATGCTTTATCTACAGGGAATCTATCTGCACTGGTTAAGAACACTAAATTAAATTATCAGGGAATAGAAGCAAAAGAAAAGGCATCAGAAAAAAACAGGTACTCAACTAATTCTCCAACAGAATAGCAGATGGTGGACTGGCAATGAGTTGGATGTAAACGCTGCATTATAACAGAGGTGCACACCAACATACCAGGATGTACCAAGATTACATTCATATAAGGCAGATTTTTATCTCAAATGAACCTTTAATGCTAAAGATGCTCAGTGTTAATGGACAGATAATAGTGAAAATGGTGCAAAGTTACTGTTGGGAGATGTAACAAAAAGCTGTATTTAGCCATTTGTTGTTGGTGTCACACGTTCGTTCATCAGAAAGTGATACTGTCACATACACATGCAAAAAGAGCGCTTCTGAGTACGGTTTGTGTATCACGCCTAAAGACCCACAGTCGGCAAAGAGAGTTGACTTTTCTCCTCCTCACACATTTGTGATAGATAAATGAGCCTGGTCGAAAACGAAGAGAAAACCACAACTTAAAATCAAAAACAGTCAAAGTGCGCGGCCTGATCTGGGTTTAAAAGTTCACCTCTGCCATCAAACGGTATTCAAACGCTCCGTTTCTCACCTTGCTGCGTGTCTTTGCTGTTGAAGAGTTCTCCTCAAATTTGGCTAGCAGCTGAGTTGCCATGGAGCGCACCTTATTCTCCCGCAGCTCTCCGTCCTCGCCAGCAGGGAGCGCACTGTGACAAGACAACTGGTGCCATGCCAGGGACACAGGTGGGGTTATAGAAGCGGGAGAGGGGAGTGGGATCACTTAGAGTCATATACTGCATCTTTACACACATACATATTAGCATCAGCTCAACATCAAAACACAACTGGGCAACTACGCTTCGTTTTGAAACGGTCTTCTGGTGAACCTACCTCCGTGAGGTAGTGGTTGCCCTTTCGCGGTCGCTTGTTGATAGAATCGTCTTCCACCGTCTTGTCATCCTGTGACAGTAGAAACCACAGTAAAGATTCTTTCACGGCGACATTAAACCTTACACGTTTCTATCCAGGTCGTCTTGCTCGTTCAAACCTACAAAGAGCTGCTTGATTTTGATGAGTGTAAAGCTGATACTGTAAACTAATCATGGGATATACTGTTCAGGCTCATGATAAGATATGTTATCTTATCACTTTGATAAGTGGTGAATTGACCTTTATGTTAGTTTAAGCTCATCTAATCTAGGTTTCAATGGCTGTAAAGAGTGCACTGGTGATGAATGTAGAACAAACAGCTGATGAGAAAGGAGGGGAGGAAAGAAAGAAAGCATCAAATGAATGTCACAGAGAAAGAGACAAAGAGAAAGAAGAGAATTAAAAATGAGATTTCATTGTACCCTGGGATTCCTCTTCCTGGGTGGAGGCAGGTTCAGTTTGTGGTTGGTTTTAGACGGATAATCTTCACTGTTTTCATCTGCTTCTCTTGTACCTGGAAAATAAACACATGCATACGGATTTACACTATTTATTCAAATTCAAATTTCGACAGCTTTGTTGGCATGAACAAAAACATGTTGTTGCCAAAGCAGTTTACAGATGATTAAAATACATTCATTATTAAATATGTGCCTATGTATATATGCGGCTATCTATTCATTCTCAGAAAATTATACAATTTAATCTCACATGAAGATAGAGGAGTCTGAAAGTTGCAGAGGAGGATTCAATTGAAATTAAGCTCCTACAGACACTTACTAACTTAGCCAGTTATCTCTGGCAGGAAGTGAGACATGAACTGTGTGCGTCACAGACAAGTGAGGTTAAGAGCACAGAAGCTCTCCTCACACACGTAACAGTAGTATTTTCAAAAAGCAACATTAGCATCATTCCAATACAATGGCATACAGTGTAGATATCATTACTGACTGAGGTGGAGAGATTAGAAGAAAAGCTAAATATAACCAAACCGAACACTTAAGCTCCTAAAACGTCTGCAAAGTAAATTCCCATCAAATGGACTGTGAAAAGTTCACCGGGGTAAATCATTTTCCCAGGCCTCCAGGAGTGTGGGATTTCTCCGTGGTGAAAGCAAGTGTGGGTGACACGGAGGTCTGCACGACATTAACATTACGGCACAATAAGTGAAACGTGGCTGAAGCTGGAGCTGACTGTGGTGGTGTGACCGGAGCTGATCGAGGGCCTCCAGAGTTATGCAGAGCTTCCACAGACATATCGCACATACCAGTCGTGTCTCTGGCAGGGACTGACCTGACCACGGTTGTATAACCTGCAACTTTATCTCCCACAGTGGATAAAATAGTCCCCGAACCTCAGTTACTTCAAATATAACAGGGTCCATACTTAAATGTGCACCGACTTTAACTTGGAAACACAATGAAAATATCTCCACAGCAGTAGTTAGCAGCACCCATTTGATTGTGATCCTTTATTAGCTTCTCTAAACTGTCTTCCACTTGTCTTCAACCTCTAGAGATCGAGACAGACACCGCACACCAGCAGCGTCGTGTGATATTTTGTTAAATACCATTTTGACCTTTCTGTGAAAGAAAAAGGAATAAAGAACCTGTTTCCACAGCTTTTCTGGTTAGGTATAATATTACACATTTTTTTCATGGTTAGGATGAAACTCTGCAACAGTGCACCACCTAGCTGGCCAAGGCATTTTCCCATCTGTTTGTTCTGTGCAGCTGGATCCACTTTTCATACACTGGGGTGACTTTGTAGTATAATCATTTCCTTTTGTCAAACTGGGGTTATGAAGTCAGAGACACACCGACGTTCTGAATTCTTGATCTAATGAATTTCAATTGAAACTGCAGTCCTCTCATTTTCAAGGCTGCAGTCAGTTTTTTGTTTTCAGTCCTGTACACTTAAGATTCAAGGATTAAATGCAGACTGAACTGACATTTTAATGTGTCATATTGTATAAAGTGAGATTTCCATGTCCTTTTTGATTATAAAGCAGGTCTACGTTCTAGATCAATACTGTGAAAGTATCAAAGCGCACAGTCCGCAGAAAAATGCACTCAGCCTATCTTAAGAAATTGAGCCTTAAAACGATCCAGTCAGGACTTCCTTAACTTTGTGATGTCACAACAAAACAGTCACCAGTCCTCAGCAACGACCCTAGCATGGCCAACAAAAAAGCTAATGAACCACATAACCCCAAGCGGTCATTCCGTCGCTAAGCTAGGAAGCTACAAGAAAGAAAGATGTTGAGGTAATGCTGCTTAATTGTTTGATGTCAGGAAGCAAATATATCATTGCACAGCCTTCCCATGGAGAGAAACATACCAGAGCACTTTAATCCAAATTTGACCATCTGTTCAGCTAATTTCAGCACTGACTGACCATCATCATTTGCATTTACTGATGACTTTTGCCAGGCTACAGTAGTAGGCGACAATCTGTTACCTGTGGCTGGCCTGACCATGTGACACAAAACACCCTGTTGTTGCTACAGCTCCAGAGAGAAGCCTGAGAGAGGAGGTGTAAAACTACATTGAGATGGTTTTTGGTTCCTCCAATAAAACACTGGAAAAGTGTAAAAATACGGGACCTTTAAGAGTAAGGAGAACAAAACCCCCCCAAATAAATCCCTGAGTCTCTCGCAGGCTGTTTGCTCTAGAGATTAGCATTCACAATATTGAGTGGCAGGAGGAGATTAGCATTACCCACCCTGACCTTTTAACAAGAAAACATTGTTCATGTTTTCTACTGGTGAAAACTAATGAGCTCAGTACAGCTGATGCATCCACACTATTTTGGAACAATGTAATGTGAGAAACAACATGTTCATCCACTGCTTAATGATTATTAGCTCCCACTATTAGCATTTACCTTCCCTTCAACCAGAGAGCATCAGTCTCTCCTAAGAAAAACTGCAAAACTCCACCACATTTATTTCTTTAGCGTAAGACTGTAAAAGTTTGATTCAATATTTTATATATTCAATATGAGATATAAGCTGAAGCAGGTAACAACAGAAGCAGGAAGGACACTGACCGTTGTTTACTGGTGAATTCCTGAAGGCCTCGTAGAATTTGGAAAGGTAAAGGACCATCAGTAGCTTGTCCGGTTCAGCCTCCGCAGCCATCTCCTTTCCCGTGGTCACTGGCTGGATGCTGAACTCCCGCTCAGCCACATCAAATGCCAACTGGTTATTCCCAGCGACGTCCTCCTCGTTAAGAGATTCATAATCACTGCAATGTAAAGGAGGGAGGAGGCGAGGTTGGTGAATCCAGGATTGTTTGTATGAGTTTATAATGTGTCTTAAAAACGCTACTGGATGTTAACACGCTAATGACGGTCTCTATTTTGTTTGTATAATGTCAGCTACATGCTTATGTTTGTGCATGGCATAAATGTTCCTGCTGATGATTTTGTGCTATTCCATTAATTGACAGTTGGTGGCAGTAACACGTCAAGAATGTGTGCCAGCAAAAAGCAGAGAAGAAGAAGACTGCTAGCTAACAAACATGGATGTAAAAAATGAGGTTTCAATACTTATAATAATAACTTTATTACAAGGAAGGAAATGTATTCAACATATCGTTAGCCTTCAAGGATTGAGGCTAAGCTGTACTTTGTCAGCTTCAACTATCCTTTGAGCTGAAAGCTAATGCTACTTGATCTTAACATGCTAACATTTAATGCGTCAGCTGTTAATGTTACGATGTTAAGCACATTAACATAGCAACAGTTACAGTTTAGCATGTTAGCATGCATTCATTTAGCATGGTAAAATGCTAACATTTAGCATGTTAGCTGGTAGTAGAGCTGAGTGGATCACCAAATTATTAGGATTCATGCTCTGAGTGCCAAGAATGTCCATAAAAAAAATTCATGGCAATCCAACAGACGGACGTGTCGGACTGTTTTGGCTGACCATGGAATAAAACGTCAGCCACCAAAACATCCCATCATCTCGATATGAGAACTGATGCTATATGTGGAATCACAGCTTGCTGCTATGGCAAGGACTGAGATGACGTGTGTTTGAGTCTACAAAATGAGCCCTCCTCATAGAGGATGATGTCATTCCAGTCGATGACTCTGACACTTTTATTCGCTTTCTCAGTTGTGTGTGAGCAGACTGGACCAAGTAGGTCAGTTTGGACCGTATGTGATATGACAGCCTGTTTTTGAATCAGATTAATCACCACAGAAAAACTTGGTCAGAGTGTCAGCAAAATCACATGCAACTTAAAAGTGGAGCATCGAACAAGAAAATCAAGCTGTTAAAAACTAATTCAATAGAAAAATTAATTCCATTCTTCGCTTTCACATAGTTAAGCGGCTCAGTTCAAAGGTAGCTGATCCGGATAGGTAATTCTTTATGCACTGTAAGTATGTTTTTGTGTGTGTTCTTACATGAACTCAGGCCTTTGGCGGTGTATGAGAGCACAGAGGGCCAGGCCGTTCCTCCACGAAGATGTGAGGTTGGTGATGTCCACCCCTCTGTAACCTTGAGTCTGCTTCTGACACCAGGTCAGCAGCCGCCCAGGACGCACCTCGGACTCTGCAGGAGAGGAACGGCACGTCATTCAAGGTCTCGTCAAGATGGCCGCTTGATCGCACAACATCACAGGAGGAACCATTTTCATGCCAGAAAGGTTAAGGTTATCACTAAGTGCTTTATTTTTGTCAGGCTGGAAAGCCTCTCAAAGAGTGTTGACACTATAGCACAATAAAAACTGATTTGAACACAAATGACTTGTGGGTTCACTCGGACTTGAGCCCCGTGATATGAAAGACTTGAACGACGTCCAAAGCCTAAAGCAGAGTAATCTTAACGGCATATTCAGACACAGAGCAGAAATTCAGGCCAGTGCCCAAACTGGCCTACTTAAAAGATCTGCAGCACTTGCTTTGATGTGCTTTAAGATGCATAGCTGTAACTCCATGAATGTGTTTTAAATGTCAGTGTTTATCTGCAGAGTGAAAGGAATGGGAAAATCAGAGGGGGATGGGTTACTGAAAGCACGCATAGATACCTTTTGTATTAATTGGCATTTTGTTTCATGGTAAATGTAGTTTTAATTCTACTGTATCCTCGTGGAGGTGGAGAAAAACTGAACATAACCTTCATGAAAGTTGAATTTAGCACATGACTCAAACATTGAAATTGATTTAGATCTGGAGAGTCAAGACTTAGGACTTACAGCTGCAATATCAATGTCAATACTTTTATATTAACAATGACTCAAATTACTGTGTAATAAGAAAAGAGCTAATTCATAGGGAAAAACCTGGGGAGAATTATCACCAACTCTACATTTCCCCTCACTTGAACTGCGCGTTTAGCATCTTTTAGCTCATTGTTTTGGTTTTACGCCACAACTTTAATGTTTTGGTTCAGTATCATTGTTCTCATCAACCTTGTTTCCAGCGACAGCAGGCTGCTGTTTTCAGTATAAAAGCTCTGATAAACTCACTGGACACTACAGGACTTACATTCATCAGGTGGTTAAACACGACTCCAAATGAACGTGTAAATAAGCAGCGGTTTTCTAATAGGTTCACTATGACAACATAACATGAGATGATGATACATCTGTGTTGTGTTTACACCTTGAAGCGGAGACTAAACAATCCACCACAGCAAAGTCAACCCCATGTTCATCAGTCCAACCCTGCTGTTGCAAAACAGAGCAAGCCAGCACATGTCTGTCACAGGCATCATGTCTGCTCCTCATGTGGGTGTAACGTTATCCAGCTGTATTGTCTGTGTGACGAGGTGTGTCGGCCTGTGACTGAGGTAAGGCTAAAGTTTCCCCTCAAGAGGGCATGACTGTGCGTTCACTATGTCAACCCTTATTTTCTCCAGTGAACTATATTCAGCATTTCATAATGATTCATCAAAATCCTTTTCAAAACAGGTTATGTCACGCTACATTGTTGAGTCAGCACAAAGATGATTTTATAAACAGTAACTGAGCGTCTTAATTTCAGAAAGCTTCCATGCAGTGCTAATGGGGCTGTGGAGGCATCTAATCTCAATGGTGACTCACTGGATGATCAGGTTACTATTACAACATGACAGGGAGCTTTGAAACAGTCACGTCTAAGGAGAAGGCACCAATCCTCACCGTCAGTGCTTGGGCTATATATGTTTGACTCATATATAATCTGTTTATAACGGACATGTGAACACAACTGTGGTTATAAATGCAAGGACGCATCACAATCTGCAGGTTGAATTTACAGCATGTGCAGCTCGTCAGTCACTGGCTCTGGCTGTCTAGACCAATTCAGACAGCAAGTGAGATAGAGAACTGTTACAGATGAATCATGAAGCCATTTCATCACCAAAAGCCTCAAATTATCACCATAAAGTGTCATCATTTTCACAGAATACAGAATCTGTTTGGAAAAACAAGTTGTCGGATGCTTCCAGTGGCCACAATACAATAGCAGATTTTATAATTCCCTTAATCGCTGATGGCTGCAGTGAAGTTTGAGGATATGGGAGTGATTGCATAAGGAACATTCACTCTGCGTCTCACCTTTTCTGGACAGGTTGACTGATCTACCTGTGGGACCTCCTCTTTCCAGGTTACATGAGCCCTGTTGGCCATCAATATACAGGTGACGAACCTGAGGGAAAAGACAGAAATTGCTCCTGACTTGAGCCTGAAATACAATTTGAATCTCAAGACACTGTATAAAAATAAGATTAGGAGGGTTTGCAGCTGACTGAAATTTCCTAGCAACACAGAATTGAACAGAATTGATGGTGCAGAAAAAAAAGGCAAGAGGAAAATCACAATGCAGCATTTGTCGCAGAAAGAGTTCAAAACAAGTCTGAGCTTGCTGGTAAACACTTTAATCCAGCATGACTGTGACTGTGGCTTCTCCTTAGAGAGCACTCTCTGCAGACTACAAGAAGTTTATTATTATTAGTAGTATTATTATTATTATGTAAGTGCTGGACTGACCTGGTGTGGGCGCACACAGCTGGAGTTGAGGTTGGGGTAGCGGGTGGCAGGGTCGATGGCGTACTGTTCAAAGTTTTTGCTGATGTTCTCTGTGGTGGTCTGAGGCAGCAGGCGGTAAAGACTCTCCCTGAGGAGCAACAGCACAGATACAGCTTTAATTGTGAGATTCAAGATACTGAAGCTTCAAAGTTGGAACCACACTGAACTAACCTTGATCTGTGTAAAGACAGAAAAGTACTGAGGCAAGAGGAGAGCACAAAACCACTGCTTGAGGAACCATAAATAAAGACTTTTGACATGAAATCTACATCACTTTAAGTGCATTTACACTGGACGTGTCCCAGCTGGTTTATTTGAACACATGACTGCTGCTACTTTACTTTGTATTGGTGGGTGATACCAAGGCTATTCATATTCATGTGACACAAAATACCAACATAGAAACCAAGGTCTCCTTCAAAGCACACACTAAAATAAGTATAAAAGGTGTAAAGCTCTAGTGGCTGCCTATAGAGGCTAGAATTGCCTCTTTTTTTAGCTTTTTTAAAGCCTTGTCAGTACAAAAAAAACTATAAAGTTTCATCTTCTATAATGGTATTTTTTGTGTTTAGGTAGTTTCTTAACAAAATCACAAGGATGTATCCTCTGGAAAACATGAATTTTATAGCAAAGTTTACATTTTAGCCTGAGAGTGGTTCGGGGAGAAAGTTTAGGAGTTTCTAAAATAGAAAAGCTGAAGGTGACTGTGTAGCTAGAGGAGGGCTCATTGGTGTGTCAAATATGAAGAGGGTGTATCCTCTGAGGAGGATGAATATCTGTAAATATTATAGTATTCAGATCATTAGATTTTGATATTTCTTGTGCAAAAGTTGAAATTTTTGAGCTGATGGCAGGCCAAGAATGACAGGACAGAGGGTCATGAAAATCATTAAGAGTTATCCTCTGGGGAACATGCACATACTAGATTTCACAGAGATCTGGCCAGTAGTTGTTTTGGACTCAAACTGTTCCCAACGGACTGTCCTTGACTGGACTGATTATAGAGCACAGACAGGTCTATTATGCTCATCTAAAGTTACAGAGAGTGAAAGATAAAACACACGCACCTCTCAGCCAGTATCTCCAGAGGGGTCCGTCCTTGTGTCCAGCCCTTCACCATCCAAGCTGTGTCGAAGGCTGCCAGGAAACCCCGAGCACAACCTGTACCCATCGGCCAGAAGGGCTGTAAGCGGAGAACACGAGGCCAGAATGAACACACATGAAGCTGAGCCTCGGCCATGGTGGAGGCCTGACAACACACACACACACACACACACACACACACACACACACACACACACACACACACACACACACACAAAACAACCACCACCAGTGCGTCATTACCTCAAGCAGACTATCTCCCACCAGCGCCACGAGTAGCTGGTGTCCGTGTTTCTCCCTGAGCAGAGCAGCGTTCTCTGAAGCGTACATGCTGGTGAAGTCAAACATGGCCACGTCCGGCTGCCCGTAGTGGTTGATGGCGTAGTCCAGGGATGGCAGCTGGTAGTTTGTGCCGAAGTCAGCTGCCTCACGGGCGTAAGAGAGCAACGCTTCCTGGTTGACATTGTCAAGGCTCAGCAGTCGCTCTGTTTCTATGTAGTCCTGTAGAGACAAGAAGAGGAAGGTTTCGGGCACCGATATGAAAGGGGGTTGCTCTTAACAATGAATCTGTGGAGAATTAACAACCCACTCTGCAGCTCTACAGAGCTTCATTAGCTCAATGTGTTGGCTTTCTTTCTCTTTCCTGGATGTGTAAATAGGAAATTATTTGCTGACAGGTTTGCCTTCACAAAGTTATAAGGTTAAAATATGCTCCCAAATGGCCAAACAGAAGAGAAAAAAACAAGGCAGCTTTAATTTAATGTAATTATCTGTTTTTGTTTGGTATTATTTTAAGATTTTTATATTATTATTATTGTTGTATTCAAGGCATCAATGTACATAGAGCTCTCTTGCATTGTATTTGAATGTCTCACCCAAGAAGGCAAGAAAAACAAAAAGCTGAAAACAGATGAAATGCCACTCAGGTACCAAATCTCAAAATCAATTTAAATCCCTTTATCAAAGAAAATAGTGACACTTTTTATTATCTCCATTATTTTTGCTTTATCATTATTTAGTTACGTTAAGCTGTCGTGTTTATGCTTCATGTTTTTGAGTTTTTATTCTGCATTGCTGCAAAAAAACAATAAAAAGACAATAAATTGTGTCATTTTTCATCCACTTTTGCAATGTTTCTTTTTTTTTTTATTGCTTTCACCTTTAAAAATGCACATTTGTAGAAATGAATATATTTTAAACTAGTATATAAAAGCATGTAATGACAATTTTAAACTTTGCTCTGGCATTTCAGTTCTCTGACTGGCTTTCTGTTATTTCAAGGAATTTAGGTTAAATATAATCCATTAAGATTCAGCTAATCTACAATATTCAATGGTCAAGCTATTACTTTTTCAAAACCACCAGAGCAATCAGAGTCCAGTTAGCTGCTGCAGCCGACCGCCGTGACTAGCCACAGTGAGAACTTGACAGCAGTGAGTGATCAATCTAAACATGTCGCCCCCTCCCCATGAATGATGCCGTTTCCCTCTGAGTCACTCAGGAAATCACCAAGTTGTTTTGTTTTGACATGTAAGCAGAGTGAGATACATCATTATCCTCTGGGCTGGACCAGGCTGGACAAAAAAAGAAAAAGAAAAAAGACTGGGACTGATTCAGAAATAGATTCATTATTCTCTAGAAATTAAATGAAAAATATATTTAGACTGATGTGTTTCACTGCAAGAGGAACATAATGACAAAACCAAGTTAATCAGTTTGTTGCATCAGTGAGCTATTACAAGTGATGAGGTCCCTCAAACAGCTGATGTTGTCAGATATCACTCTGCACTAATGGGCAATGTAAAATGAGACAGACACCACCCAGGGTACAGCGAAGCACACTGTCAACACCTGTGTGTGTGTGTGTGTGTGTGTGTGGGAGAGTGAGAGAGCGAGAGAAAGGAAAAGAACATAGTCCACATGTCGATGCCACTACAGTGTGTTTTGTTTTCCTGCATGTGTGTGTGGCTCTTCGTATTTTCAGATAATTGTCCTGGCAGACACTGGGTGAGGGGGTTAACAGCTGTCTTCCTCATGGGATCCAATCTGCTCCCTGATGCCATAATAATAACCTCATTTATACCGTCTAATCTCTGTAGAGGACAGGGACGCTCACCGAGAGGAAACCTCTGACTCGTAACGTGTGTGTGTGTGTGTGTGTGTGTGTGTGTGTGTGTGTGTGTGTGTGTGTGTGTGTGTGTGTGTGTGTTTGTTAGTTTGTATGGCACATAGAAGAAAGGTGAGAGAGCGCAAGCATCTAATTAGAGCCCGATTTCATTATCATCCCCTATGGAGGCCCGTCACTCACTGCCACAGCTAGCTGCTCACTGGTCTGGCAAACACACACACATACACACATCCCTGTTCACCTAAAAACACTATGACTCTCTGCTCTGGCTGCTGGTTTTAAAAACAGGCAGACCAGCCTGACATTTATAAAAATGTAAGCTAATATCAGTGGCTAACGTTAATGTTGTAATTTGGCTAGCTTTCATGTTTATAGGCATTCAGATATCTAAATCTTACTCTCTATCTCTTCTATAAAGCCTTTGGTGTTTCCAGATCGCCTTAAGTGATGTCACTTGAGTCGGGATCAGTCGGGTGCTAAAGACTACAAGTTTGAAAAAGAGACAAATCTGGGGATGTGGAGTTAGAGAAAAATGAGTTTAACAGACTTCTTAAATAAATCCGGCCCGTTATGCACCCGGTTCCACGGCCTGAATCTGGCCCATATTCAGCATGATTGTCAGACTCTACTTCCAGGTATAAGTAAAGTCAATACCAGAACACAAAAGCTGGACTCTGCCCAGATGTGAGAGGATATGAGCCAGACGTGAGCCTGGGATCAAAGCATACGATGAGCCAGAAGTTTCATTTTGCCAACTAGCTCTGCTTGGGCCTGGCAGCTTGAGGCTACATTAGCTGCTAGTAGCTTACCATACACAAATCTACAACCATCAACGAGTGGAATAAAACAGACATTATCTCTGGTTCTGTATCAGTTTTGATTCTTTTATTTTTTAACTGTCCATTTTGAGTCCAATGTTTCATATTCATCTTACGCCAAAGCTCAAGCCAGTTAGAGAACAGTATATTACAGGTGAACAAGTGAGAGTCAACAGAGTTTCTGAATGATCTTGTGTCACGAGAGCCCAAGCTGAGGGAGATGTTCAGAGTTTGGGAATGACATTTGCGTAGGAGAGTGAGTCTATAGCCGCAGAGCAGAGTGACATTTACACAGCTGTGTGTGTGAACCATTACAGTCCGGTGAAGTCAAGTAAAGAGTGCGAGAACACCACCTGTAACCATGATAGTTGTAACGCAACGAATACCAAAATGAATACACCGTATTAAAGATGTGTGTGCATGTGGATGAGCAAACTCACGTTTATGATGACCCCTTTGTCCAGCAGACTCTGCTTCTTCGCCGTCATGACAAAGTAGTGGGTGTTGTCTTTGTAGTAAACTATGTTCTCCAAGTCAATTCCTGAAAACAAGAGCAGATTTACTTAACTTAAGGTGAATCAAAAATAAATAATTAAATAAAATAGAGGACTATATACTATGTTGTCTCCTCACCCGTCTCCTCCTTGAGTTCCAGAAAGAACTTCTGGTTGAAGATGAAGGCCACGCCGCTGATTTCTTCCACTTTGGCCTCTGCGGTGGTGTTTCTGTTGACGAAGTTAGCTGTGATGGCGATGGCCAACTTACCCCGAAACTCTTTGCGACTGAAACCTGCCGAGAGGGGAAGAAAAACCTTAGGAACGACTCATGCAGAGGGAAAAACAAACAGACAAACAGTGAAAAATATTTCTTTAAATGGGATTTTTAAGCAACATACATATAGTTACTATAAACAGTCAATCTGATTCACATATGAAGCTGCAGCAGATGGAGACACAGACCCTCCTGGAGTTGTCCGTTTAAGGAGGACAATGTTTAACACTGATGTAACCAGTTACTTTATATGTCAACAAACACATCTCATATACCACACACTTACACAGAAAGCTAACAAAGCTCCCAAACACTTCATAAATCGGTACACACACGCAACACTGACCCGATACACACACTATTAAGCCTCCAGTTAAAACTATGTCAACAGGAAATGCTTTACCCAGTGACTGAAAGCAGCTTTGCGACACCCAGGCTCATTTCCAGTAAAAAAATAACAAACAGTGCTTTGACTGCAGGGTAAATGTTTGAAAAATGTGGGTCAATGACAAACCATTTCTAAGGACTCACTTAGAGCCGCATGAAAACGCCACAGATCACCTCACAGGACCGTTCCCATGACAGGATTTCTGTTCGTTTTTCCTTCTTTCTCACCGTCTAATGTGTTTTTGCGTCCGTCGGCTCCAATCACCACGTCAAAGTCAAAGTCTGAGACAGGATGGCTGGAGGGCCGGACCTCTGCTCGCCACCCGGGGCCTGAGGAAGAAAACGACAAAAAAACAGCTAACCGTTACCGTAACATATTTACAGAGAGTGTTACTGAAGATCTGAAGGAAAGGCAGATGATGGGGAGTTGGGTGATGAGTCACATATCATGTTCACAAATCATGTTGCGAGTGTTGATTTGATTTGAGAAACCATTTCCTTTTTCTGACCGCATGAGATTTATGTGATTATTTCCCAACTGCCACAGAGCAGCTACAATATGTTGCTCTGTCCCTGAAGTTAAGGGACGGTTGTGTCGTGTCAAAGTCAGAAAGTCCCCACACATCATATTTAGTATACATATTTTTGGAAGAGGAAAGTGAACTATCAGCAGACTCTATCAATAGACATAGTTATTTTCCACACAGTTTGTTATAAATTCTGCCACTGCAAATGTCTCTCCTCTAGAAACATTTCTGATCACTTGAACATATGTTGTGAGCATGGAGTTGTCCATATATAGCTGAAATATGCAGGAGAGTCTCTGCATGTCAGTGCCACTCACAACCCTTTAACATACAGATAATACCACCCACCCACCCACCGAGGAGAGATGGATACAATCATTATCCTCTGGGGTTCTGGACGCAGGCTGGCAGAAAAAAGAAAAGAAAAGAAGACTGGTGACTGATTCAGAATATAGATTTATTTCTCTAGAAATTAATATGAAAATAATTTAGACTGTATGTGTTTCACTCAAGAGGAACATAATGAAAAAACCAAAGTTAAATCAGTTTGTTGTTCATCAGTGAGCTATTACAAGTGATGAGGTCCTCAAACAGCTGTATGTTGTCAGATATCAACTTCTGCACTAATGGGAATGAAAATTTGAAGACAGACACATTCACCTCAGGGTACGCGAAGCACACTGTCAACACCTGTGTGTGTGTGTGTGTGTGTGTGTTGGGCAGAGTGAGAGAGGCGAGAAGAAAGGAAAAGAACATTAGTCCTACATGTTCGGATGCCACTACAGTGTGTTTTGTTTATCCTGGCATGTGTGTGTGGCTTCTTCGTATTTTCAGATAAATTGTTCCTGGCAGTACACGGGTGAGGGGGTTAGTCAGCTGTCTTCCTCATGGGATCCGCAATCTGCTCCTGAATGCCTATATATAATAACTCATATATATCGCTCTAATGCTGCTGTAGGGACAGGCGACGCTTCACCGGAGGAACCCTGACTCGTAAGTCGTGTGGGGTGTGTGTGTGTGTGTGTGTGTGTGTGTGTGTGTGTGTGTGTGTGTGTGTGTGTGTGTCGTTGGTGTGTGTGTGTGTGTGTTTCGTTAGTTTGTTGGCACAATAGATAGAAAGGTGAGAGTAGCGCAGCATCTAGATTAGAGCCGATTCATTATCATTCCCCCTATGGAGGCCCGTCACTCACTGCCACAATGTAGCTGCTCACTGGTCTGGCAAACACACAACATACACACACCTTGTTCAGCATAAAAACACTATGGACGTCTCTGCTTGGCTGCTGTTTTTAAAAATCAGCAGACGCAGCCTGATCATTGTATAAGATGTAAGCTAAGTATTCCAGTGGCTAACGTTATGTTGTAGAATTTGGCTGCTTTCTGTTTATATTGGCTTATCAGATATCTATCTTACTCATCTAACTCTCTTCTATAAAGCTTTGGTGTTTCCAGATCGCCTTAGTGATGTCCACTTGGTCCGGAATCAGTCGCGGGTGCTAAAGACTACAAGTTTGAAAAAGAGACAAAGTCTGGGGATGTGGAGTTAGAGAAAAATGAGTTTAACAGACTGTCTAAATAAATTCCGGCCGTTATTCTGCATCCCGGTCCACGGCTGTCTGGCCCATATTCAGCATGACTTGTCAGACTCTACTTCCCAGTATAGGTAAGTCTACCAGACAACAAAAAGCTGGACTTGCCCAGATGTGAGAGATCATGGCCAGATGAGCCTGGATCAAAAGCATACGATGAAGCCAGAGTTTTATTTTTGCCAACTAGCTCTGCTTGGGCCTAGCAGCTTGAGGTCTACATTAGCTGCTAGTAGCCTTACATACCGAAATCTACAACCATCACGAGTGGATAAAACAGACATTTATCATCATGGATTTCTGTATCAGTTTTGATTCTTTTATTTTTAAGCTGTCCATTTTGAGTCCTAATTGTTTCATATTCATCTTACGAGCCAAAGCTCAGCCAGTTAGAGAACAGTAATATTTACAGGTGAACCAAGTGAGAAGTCAACAGAGTTTCTGGAATGTATCTTGTGTCAGAGAGCGCCAAGCTGAGGGAGACTGTTAGAGTTGGGAATGATCATTGCCGTGGAGAAGTGAGTCGTATAGCCGCAGGAGAGAGTGACATTTACAAGCAGCTAGTGTGTGTGTGAACCTTACAGTCCGGTGGAAGTCAAGTAGAAGAGTGCGAGATAACACCACGCTGTAACCATGATAAGTTGTAACGCAACGAATACCAAAATGAAATACACACGGTATTAAGATGTGGTTGATGTGGGATGAGCAACTCACGTTTATGATGCCTTTAGTCCAGCAGACTCTGCTTCTTCTGTTCCGTCATGACAAAGTAGTTGGTGGTTCGTTCTATTGTAGTTAAACTATGTTCCTCTACAAGTTCAATTCCTGAAACAAGAGCAGATTTACTTATTCTAAGGTGAATCAAAATAAAATAATTAAAAAATAGAGGACTATATAACTTGTTGTCTCCTTCACGCGTCTCTCTCCTTGAGTTCCAGAAAAGAAGCTTCTGAGTTGAAGATGAAGGTCCACGCCGCTGATTTTTCCCTTTGGCCTCTGGCGTGTGGTTTCTGTTGAGAAGTTAGCTGTGATGGCGATGGCCAATCTTACCCCCCGACTCTTTAGCGAACTGAAACATGCCGGAGAGGGGAAAAACCTTAGGCAACGACTCATGCAGAGGGAAAAACCAACAGACAACATGTGAATATTTCTTTAAATGGGATTTTATAACACACATATACGATATAGTTACCTACTAACACAGATCATATGATTTTTCTACGAACTGAGCAGATGGAGACGTCCTTCCTGGGCAGTGTACACGTCTTAAAGAGGACATTATTTATACACACTGATAGTAACCAGTTAACTTTATATGTCAACAAACATCTCATATACCACACATTACATAGAAGCTAACAAAGCTCCAATACACTTCAAATCGAAATGTACACTACGCACAGTACTGAACCCGATACACAACACTATTAGCCTCCAGTTAAAACTATGTCACAGGAAATGCTTACCACCCAGTGACTGAAAACGCAGCTTTGCGACAAACCCATGGCTCATTTCCAGTAAAAAAATAACAACAGTGCCTTTTGACTCTAGGGTAATGTTTGAAAAATGTGGGTCAATGACAACCATTTCTAAGGACTCACTTAGAGCCGCATGAAAACGCCACAGGATCACTCAGCAGGACCGTTCCCATGACCAGGATTTGTGTTCGTTTTTCCTTCTTTCTACCGTCTAATGTGTTTTTGGGCGTCCGTCGGCTCCAATCACCACGTCAAAGTCAAAAGTCTGAGACAGGAGTGGCTGGAGGGGCACGGACCTCTCGCTCGCACCGCCGGGCCTGAGGAAGAAAACGACAAAAAACAGCTAACCGTTACCTGAGTAACATATTTACAGAGAGTGCTTACTGAAGATCCTGAAGGAAAGGCAGATGATGGGGAGTTGGGTGATGAGTCACATATCAATGTTCACAAATCATGTTGCGAGTGTTGATTTTGATTTGAGAACACCATTTCCTTTTTTCTGACCGGATGAGATTTATGTGATTATTTCCCAACTGCGCACAGAGCAGCTACAATATGTTGCTCTGTCCCTGAAGTTAAGGGACGGTTGTGTCGTGTCAAAGTCAGAAAGTCCACACAACATATTTAGTTATACATATTTTTGGAAGAGGAAAGTGAACTATCAGCAGACTCTATCAATAGACATAGTTATTTTCACAGCAGTTTTTATAAATTCTGCCACTGCAATGTCTCTCCTCTAAGAAACATTTCTGATCACTTGAACATATGTTGTTGAGCATGGAGTTGTCCATTAATTAGCTGAAATATGCAAGGAGAGTCTCTGCATGTCAGTGCCACTCACAACCCTTTAACATACAGATAATACCAC